CATCATCTCCTCTATCGGGAGCGTCCCGCCCGGCCTCGATGCGTACAGTGCTGGTGTCATGTGTGGCTAGTGGCGTGGTCATCGTCGTCACACTCGCCGCTATTGTGTGTCTAGTCCATGGGAAGAAGAAGTAAGATTATCACTCAATATATTTTTGTAACTTCTACTTACCCTCTACAACTCTGATGATTTGTCAACAAAATTTATGACATCCTAATTCGTTCGTTATGTTATTTATACCTAAGTAAAGGAGAGTTAAAAATATTCTAGGAACCTTCCAAAACGTATGTATTTGAATACTTAATATTAATCTAAAGACAGTGAATGTGGATTGCCTCAATAATCGAATTATTAGTTGCAGGTAGTAAAGTCGAAACATATTTTTGTTGTGTGCCAATCATTGAGATTTATGGCTAGTTATAAAACAAACATAGATAAACTTATTACTACCATTTGTTTCAGATTCTTCTGCATTTCAAGCGACCATTACATGAGAGATGACAGAAAGTTAAGTGAAAGCAATGAAGCAGAAAGAGAAAAGTTAAGAGAGGGACAAAAACTATATTCGTCTTCCTCTATCAATGGAAACGAAAAATCAAATGATGACTCCTCAGGTGAGTAACGTACCCATTTTATTTAAATATACCTTACTTCAAAATAATAATATTCCAAAGTAAAACTGTTACTAATACCCTCATTCTTCAGCGGAGTTATACGAAATAAGTCCTTACGCGACATTCGGCGTATCAGCGGCGCACTCGCTGCAGTTCCGAACGCTTGCGAGACGTGAAGACGACGCCGCGCCACCGCACCGTCGACGACATCGCGCCTGCGATCATTACAGATACGGTAAACTCTTAGTCTTAAATTAAACCTACCTACCTATTTACATGAATTAAACTGATTGTCCATAAGTTGAAGGTAATACAACAATTATTATGTCACAAGTTTAGTAGGTACAATGCAACAAAAAAGTAGCTTCCCGTTTCCGTAATTACCTATTAATAGAACTCTGTACAAATATTAAAATTTTACGTTGCTTTCCAAAATTCATGTCATTTTTGGCGGTAAAAGATCTTGACATTTTTCTTTGTATTCTAAATAGTGTTGTTACATAACACCTTACTAATCAAAATAGTAACATTTAAAATAATTTTGATTTGCAAATTGTTTTTATATTAATATTTTAATATGTGCTAAACTATAATCACATAAGATACATTAGCCAAACCTTGGCTTGGTTTGGACCTATGATTATTGTACCAACAGATGAATCGAGTCTGTCTAAATGCTCGACAGTGGAAGCACGGCATCGTATGCGCGCTGCTTGCGCCAGCGCAGGCGGTGGCCCCCCCTCCAATAACTGGAGGGATACACACACAGACTCTGATGACAACAGCGATAGTGCTGCCAACACTACAACTAAAGGTAAGTAAATTGTACTTCTTATTTTTTTACTACTATTTAAATACTAAGTTTTTTGGGATAAAAAACATATAATTTGTTGCTGAAACTTGAATAATTTTTCAATCAATATTAAATGAGAATCAAAGAAATATTATTATCAATAGACTATAGTTTTACCAATTTTAAGCTTTATATTTTTGATACTCACCAGGTTCTGGCACATCACCTTGTAACAGTGCATACGGCAGTGGCAGGCGAAGCGCCCGCACGACCAGCAGGTAGAACTCAGGTACCTCCCCCGCTCACTCCTCACCACTCGCCGCTCACCGCTCACCTTATCCATGCACCTCCATTGTTTTTTATTTACCATATTTTTAATAGTTTAGTTTTTAAAAATAAAATAAAACTTTATTAAATGTTTTATTATTACAGTAGAAAAGTATTAAGTTTTAGGTAAAGCATTACTGTTTGATTTATATATATGTGTTTTTCTGGGAATAATAAGTTTGTTTTGTTTAGTTTATTTTCATATCCATACATTCATTTTATATTAAGCGTTTATTTTACTGGCACCAAAGATACCCTACATGAAGCTTACAACTAACCGGCTTTGCTACAAACTTAGATACCTAACAAATGTTAATAATTTATTTATAAACACATCTATTAACGGTAATGAAGTAAATATATCTTTAACAGCGGAGGCCCGAACGGGAGCGACGGCCTCTCGGGGAGCTTCGCCCCGGTCCCCGCTGATATATCTTCTTTAATTGACAAGTAAGAATATGCACCTTCAATTGCTACCAATTCAATTAACATTCAAGTTTAAATATTGAAGATAATGTAAAGACTATATCAACACCCACCATATTTGCATCTATTACTCCATTTACCTTTTATCGTCTACTGTTCACAGATATCAGCAAAGAAAAGAACAAGAACGGCGAGAATGTACAATTCATGTGTAACATTAGTGTTTTTAAATAATTTTCTAATTGAAAGTCCATTCATACACATTGTGAAATTTAATTACTATTTAAAGAAGAGAACATTTTCTATATTGAATTGTGCGATTGGAAGAAAATATGCGATTGAGTGACTAAGAAAGAAATTAATCGACTCGTTTGCTGTCAATTGTTTGTAAAAAGGGCTTAATTCATGCATGTGATTACGTCACAAACTGTGACACCCCATTATCTTAATGTTAAATTGTTAACTAAATTATTTATGACAATGTGATTTATTTAACACGTTAATCTGTGAAAGTTTAGATTTATAAATGGCATCTAATGAATTGTAAATATTAGCAGATGATAAGTCTAACGAAAATTACTAATTTGCTGTGAGATCTACTACAAATCATCATGGAGAAGTAATTGCTGTCCATATAGAAACAAGCTAAGCATTGAAAAAGTACCTATATTACTATTAACGTGCTTAAAATAATCTCACAGCGAAATTTTGTTTAAAAATATCATATGCGCATCTGAAGTTTTTCTAAATTCTTAAAAAAAAATTACGCATGGCGTGTAAAATCAGATGCACATAAAATATTTTAAAATTATAATAAACTTAAAATTAATTTATGAAATTATGTAGATCTTAAGTAATGTTAATGGCTGTTCCAAACTGCAAAAGATACATATCATTAAAATAGACTGCCAGTATTTAAGTAATTCGTAATTCTTTTTACTATATTGTTGATTAATATAGTTGATAGGTATTAATTATACACTATTGTATAAAAATCTTTCTATATACATGTTGTGTAATAATAAAATTATTGATATTAGTGCGGAAGAAAGAAATAAAGATGTGTGTTGTGGTATGATATTTATTTTTTATTTTCCCGTTCCCATAGTAAAATTTTTTTTATGGCATACTCCGGTAAACAAGCAGACGGATCACCTGATGGTAAGCAATCGGCGTCGCCCATGGACACCTGGAACACCAGAGGCGTTACAAGTGGGAATTGGGGAGATTGGGGAAGGGGAGGGTAATTGGGCCTCCGGTAACCTCACTCACACAACGCAAGCGTTGCTTCACGTCGGTTTTCTATGAGGCCGTGGTATCACTCCGGTCGAGCCGGCCCATTCGTGCCAAAGCATGGCTCTCCCGCACTTAGCGATATAATGATATCCTATTTTTACATAAAACATTTAAGAATTTGGTACCTAGCCTACCTAGGTACCTATTCAGAGGGACGTAGGTACTTAGGTATGTATGTACCTATGTCGCAGTATTTTGTCTGGATAACTTAAAAATGCAATAAACAGTGAATCAACAGTTTAATATCCTATAAAATAAAAAAGGTAGGTTGCCATTCTAGCGAAGAAGCGATTTGTCCCGTCAGTCAAACTATCAACTCTATGACCCAGAAGTTGAGCCCAAGACCTCTCTCGGCAGTCACACAGTCAATCGTCTACCAAGGAAGAAATTACAGTCAAAAACTAAGACTTGAAACAAAAAAAGCACCTGCTGTAAGAAAAATATTATAATTTTTTAAGGCCTTTTCAGTTTGACCTGTATGTAGTATATATGTGCTTGTATGCGATTAATAAGTATTAGCCAAATTCAAAAAAGAGGGAGTTGAAGTCGTTTTTCCAATGTAGAGACTACTTTAGTATATGAACAAATTTAGGGGATGATTTTCGTCAATTTTCAGTACCTTTCACATTCTTTTTGGAAATGAGTAGCTCGACCAAATGTAAAATTTAGATAAGCGCCATCTACCAGAAGTTGTAATAACTAGGTGGCTTAAAAAGACCCAAAAGAACACTCATTATTAGAACAAGCGAGCATGGACTGTAGTACTGTACCAATAATAATGTATTTTAACCAGTGTTACCAGGACGATAAAATAATTATTTAGTTTAAACATGCAAAATAAACAACTCTAGTGTTTGGTATATGTATAAATATGGAGGTAAAGCAACGTGAAACTGTGAGCTTTGTAGGGTTACTCACATCTATAAAATCTACATTAATTCACTTATAAGTTAGATAATAATAAAATAAATTGATTGCACGGTATCGATTTTACTAAATATAAAAGTCGACTAATCGATATATTGTCTTAGTAAGATTGATTAGACAGCCAGAGTAGGGTGGAACGCATACATCACTAGTATGTACTTAGCGAGCATAGGAAGTGGTGTCGTCCGTCTTCAATTTTTCAAGAAAATATTTGTTATTGTACTACAATAATGTATTTTGTCAATGAAAACCATCTAACCATTACGTATTAGTAACTTAATTTTAACGAAGAAATAATAATTGTTTTTTGCTCGTAGTAAATCCGTCGTATTTCAATTGTTTTGATGCCGTTCACCTATATTGATTTATCGTATGCCAGTGACCTGTTTTTAGTATTTGTAATGTATAACTCATAATAATTAATTTATCATCATTAGAAGCAACAGTAGGGCTAATTAGAAATGAAGTTTTGATTAGAAATTCTTTGCAAGAAATCGTGATGTGGCCGAAGTTAGTGAGACTGGCAAGGGTCCGCAATTATTTTATGTGATATCGAATTTTATATCGTTTGGAACGTTCCAAAAGTTTTTATATCGTTATGGTGTGTATGTTCTACAATGATGACGCCTATTGAGGAGAAGAAAGATGAAAAGGTAAGCAGAGTTGACATAATATTTGAAGCTTTATATTCGATTTTCGTCATTATTTTTATGACAGGTTTTCGGTGAGCCTCCAGTAGTTGTTTAATAAAATTCAAGTAAGCAAAAACATATTTGTGTCAGGCATTAGGTAAATGTAATGCTGCCCAGTAATTTTCCAATAAATACATACATTTTTAGTGCACTAATTTTATGATTTAAAATCTAAACCTCATGTAAAAATTGTGGTGAAGTATAGTCATCTAATCAGTTAGTTCCCACTTTTATTTCTACATTTTGAAACACTTTTCTACATTGTGAATATTAATTTATTCATGAAGAACCAATTAAAAAAATATTAATGAAAATCCAATGACTAATATGAATAATATATAAATACAGAAATATTCATTAGAGAGAGAGACATAATTACAAACATCCTGTTGGGAGTGGAGGTGATTTTTGTCTCATAGAAAATGAAGATAGGATGAACTGCTCGACTCATGTGCTAGATAGGGAGAAGCTCTTCTCATTGCCAATGTAGTATATATGTTGCTTTGTAGCTATCTTAATTTTATTAATAACACAAAGATGTATTTTGTGTCAATTTAATTCAATTGCACTTAGATGTTCCATACGTTGGACAACGGTATGGACCTCTTTTGTAAGAAATAAAAGTCATAGTGGCTACTTTATTAACCGCTAACCCCGAATAACTATTCAGGGTCACCATTTCAAAAACAGTGTACTAGCCTGTATCTAACTATTTACAATCAATAAATTCATGTATGTAACTTTTACATGGATAATTTTTGTAAGCAGTGACTAATGTTTGCCCGGCAAACATATTAACTGTCTAATTGATTACTAATTAGACAGGTACTTTCCTTGTTTGTCAACATAACAATAGATTAATTATGGTGGTATCCCATTCAAAGTGTTAATATTTGCATAGAAATTGTTTTATTGTTATCCAACAATCAATGGTAAATTAAGGCTTAGACTGCCAATAGAATACTGTTGAAGTCGAATCCTCCGTTAACATCGGGCACCGGTGATCCCTATGGCATTTAATATCTTTTAATCTGTCAAACACCAAGCGGTCACCGGTGACCGCGACCTATTGTTCTTTAATTGTGTCTATAAAACCGGTACTCGACGAGTTAATAGCAAAACTTCGTTATTGTTTAATGATATTTAAATTCGGTGAGGCCCACATATTGAAGAAAATATCACAGAGCTTTATCTGCAGCATACAAAAGAAATATTACAAACAACTTGCTAACAGATATAGATGGCAGGCAATTAATTATAATCAATATTAGTCATTATTATTAAAGAGATGAATTTTGTACTAATCAGTATTATACGACAGCATTAATTAACTGTGATAACGTGCGCCTTCTAGCGGTCAAGATAATGACACAGGATCGCTCCATACTTATTTTCTCGGTGTATATGCCAACGAACTCAAGCGATAACATTACTGAGTTTACGGACTGTCTTAGTGAAATAAGTGCAATAGTGGAAAGTCAAAATGTGCAATCAGTGATCATCCTCGGTGATTTTAATGCTCATCCTGGTGAGCTATTCGGTACTGAATTGATAAGGTTCTGTGCGGAACAAAGTTGGACCTGTGCGGACTTGGACTTACTACCACCAAGTACGTACACTTATGTGAGTGACGCGCACGGTTGCCACCGCTGGCTTGACCACTGTGTAGTGACGGACGCTGCCAAGCGTATAATAGTCAGTGCAAGTATACTGTATGACACGTACTGGTCGGATCATATGCCTATGCAATTAAAATGTAATTTTAATTTAATAAGACCTACAATTGTAACACCTATCTTTGTCAAAAAGGGTATAATGTGGGGTGAACGGAACCCTGGTCAAATTGATAATTACAAAATCTGTTGTAACATTAAGTTAAGGGAAATTGATTTTCCAACAGAATTTGTAGATGTGCTAACAGGTTCTGTGCGAATGTTCGTCACAAAATGATATTAGATGAAATGTACAATAAAATTGTGTGTATACTTACCGAAGCTGCCCAACATCCTAGTAGTGGGGGTGCAAAACGGGGAACAGGGGTAAACGTGTTGTAGGTTGGAATAGGCATGTTAAGCAGGCTCACGCGAATGCCCGGCTTGCTTTTCAAGTCTGGAGTGTAGCTGGTAAACCAACTTCTGGTCATTTGTATAGACACATGTACGATACGAGAAAAATGTTTAAATCGAAGTTAAGATGGTGTCAGAACAACCAAAACCAAATAAAAATGGATATTCTAGCCGAAAATCACAAATCCAAAGACTTTTCAAGGTTCTGGAAAAACACCAACAGGTTGAATCCCAGGCCGGGTGAACCCGTGAGTGTGGCGGGCAACATGAACCTACAGCTATAGCTAATTTGTTTGTGAAACATTTTAAAGTCGAGTCCCCGCTTGGTCTATCATCGCAGGCAGTCGATGCTGAGGATTCTTTTACGGACTTAAATGTCAGGTTTACAAAGAAAGATGTTGCTTCCGTTATAAAAAACATGGTTAGGGGAAATCGCCGGGGCATGACAACCTCAGCATCGAGCACCTGCGATATGCGGGAGTTCATCTACCCAGGGTGCTGGCGATGTTCTTCTCGCTCTGTCTAAGCCACGCTCATCTGCCAAGCGATCTAATGAAAACTATAATTGTACCTATTTTAAAGAATAAGACTGGAGACACGTCAGATCTAGAAAATTATAGGCCTATATCTCTTGCTACTATCATGGCTAAGGTGCTGGACGGTTTGCTTGATAGGCATATGTCAACCCGTATAGATTTGCATGACGCGCAGTTTGGTTTCCGACCAGGACTTTCCACAGAAAGTGCCATACTGTCTCTCAAGCATACTGTTCAGTATTATACGTCTAGGAAGACGCCTGTTAATGCGTGTTTCCTGGACCTTTCCAAAGCTTTTGATCTGGTGTCGTATGACTTGCTGTGGCAAAAATTGTTAAATGATACAACGGTGGATAGGGAAGTTATATCAATGCTAAGATATTGGTATTGGAATCAAATCAATTGTGTTAGGTGGGCCGGCTCGTTATCGGACGAGTATGGGCTGGAGTGTGGAATGAGACAGGGCGGATTGACCTCGCCTCGCCTCTTCAGTCTGTACATAAACCGGTTGATCGCCGAGCTCAGCAGCACCTATCAAGGTTGTTATATAGATGGAACATGTGTCAACAATATTAGTTATGCAGATGATATGGTGCTGCTGAGCCCATCGATCAGCTCAATGATGAGCCTGCTAAATATTTGTGAAAAGTATGCAGAGGCCCATGGGCTCAGATACAATGTAAGGAAAAGTGAAGTATTGGTATTTAAGGCAGGTACTAAAACGTACCCGATTGCAACACAGCTGAAACTTTGCGGAAGTCCTCTAAAGCAAGTCACATCTTTCAAGTATCTGGGCCACTGGGTTTCCGAAGATCTAAGCGACGGCTTAGACATAGAGCGTGAGCGCAGGGCGTTGGCTGTCCGCTGCAATATGTTGGCCCGCAGGTTTGCAAAATGCTCGACTGACGTTAAGATAACTTTGTTTAAAGCGTACTGTCAGTCATTCTATACGTGCGGTCTGTGGGTCGACTACACGCGGAGGGCATACAACGCTCTGCGAGTTCAATACAATAACGCATTCAGGGTGCTGGTGGGGTTGCCGCGGTACTGCAGTGCCTCTGGCATGTTCGCAGAGGCAGGCGTTGATGGTTTTCATGCCATCATACGAAAACGTTCTGCCTCAATTATGCATAGGGTGCGTATCAGCCCCAATAGCATCCTGAAGACTATAGCAGACAAATGGGACAGCCCTATACTGGGACATTGGATACGCCTGCATGCTATTGTGGCGTAAGTCATGTTTTAATTGTAACTGGTAATTTTAAGTACTAAAACTAGTTTTATAAGTTGTTTGTTTACTAACCAAATGGATTTAAGTTGTCCGAAATAAATAAATAAATTAAATTAAATTAAATTAACCCTTTGAGTACCGTCATTATAGACACAATTAAAGAACAATAGGTTGCGGTCACCGGTGTCCTCGCAGTGTTTGACAGTTTAAGACAGCGTTAACAACATTTTGTCTAACTGTCTAACAGAATCACGGCTTGGATTCCCTAATAGAGCTATTCGAAATTGTTAAACAATTAAAGTATGTAATAATATTTTTCTTTACACCATGAATATTTGTAACAATATCTCCAATTTCCAGATACGTACAGGCATGGTGCAGGTCTCGGACGGCAAGTCCCGCCCGAGGCCGGCGCGGCTGGTACTCACGATGGATGCGGTGACCGTACAGCGCGAGGCCCCCGTGCCTGTGCAGCCGACCAAGGATAAAAATGTGCCACATGCTAGGGTAAGTCATAGAAAAAGAAATTTGTAGAGACAACCGTTGAGTTTCGCAACTAACTAGATATTAAAAGTTTCGTACCTAACTAGTTAAATCTACCTATGATTGTTGTTCACGCCAGAACGGCTATACGGATCTTGATAAAATTCAGGAAATGTTTAATTCTTTTATCCGCTTATACAAGTTGTGTAACTAGTAGGAAATGCATAGGTAAATGATAAAATACATTCATAGATTAACCTACTTATTTCACAATTTAATTCATTAAAATCTGATGAATATCACAATATTACACTGTTCCAATAAATTTTAATATGAAACAGCCCTCGAAAGGCTGCTATCATTAATTCCCTTGATGTTTTGATTGTATCGACAGCGACTATAAAATATGGCCCATAATTATTGTTTCGGCTGATCAAAATCTAATGTAAGCACAGGCACTTAAAGCATGGGTTTAATTGAAAAAGCTTTTACGTTCGTGTAGTTTACGTGGCTAGTTTTATTTCGTGGCAAGTTTACATAAATTTAACTCATTAACCTTGTGTGTTGGGATTTGTTTGATAGTAAACTCTGCATTAGCCATTCTTGTCTGCGTACAACCAACAACTCGGTATAAAGAATTTAAAACAAATCAACACAACACGTAAAGTTCACGGCCGTTGTTTTTGCATAGCATGCGGACTAATTCCACAGATTGTCCGTTGATATGGAATGGAGTTTTCATGCGCCAATCACGTGTGCAAGTTGATTAATAGATCATTGATTGATTCAATACTACGAAGGTCATTAACGTTAACGATGTCCAACGTCCAACCATTCGGTTTATTCCTATAGGACCTACATTTATCTAGGAATTGAATATTACCTACATTATACGAAAGAAAATGTATGTAGGTAACTATAGAAGTCTGAAGTTTTCGTTTTAACGCCATTTGCACGATTCATCTCTATATTATGAAAAGAATGGTCAATGACACTATGTTCTTGATATGCTCTTAACCTTTAACTACCGACCTATACGTCTCACAGACGTAATAACTTTTAATTTTGAAATATTTTAAAAATCACGCCACCTTCGGCGTCGCCCTTCCTGCTACCTTCTTCCCTTCGTGTCCCAAGCCAACAGTCGACGCTGCGCCCGCGGCGAGTGCACACGTCTCCATATTGAAGCGATCGACGTCTCACAGACGTAAGTACGGTGTTTATGTACTAAATTTCGTACGTCTCTTGGTCGTCACCTCGGTATTCATGTGTGGTAACTTATAGTGTCTGATTGACGTCACATCGGTTATAAAATTATACTTTTAATTACAGAATGCCTAAAAGGAGAAACATCACGTCTAGTGAGCGGGTAAAACCTGCAAATTATGACTGTTCACTTTCCGAGAAGCCTCCGAAACTGACAACAGAATAGGCCTTTAGAAGATAAAGATATGTGAAAATCTTATAAACGAGAGTGACGACAACTGTAATGATTTTGATGACGATGTAGGCAATCCTGATTTTATTTTAGAGAGCGATAACAACACGGAATCCGAATAATCCGATGAGGATGATGTTGACGTCGCGTATCCCTATGTTGAGTAAGTTTACCACAGAGAAATCAACCATAACCACGACAATGAAGAACAAGAAAGAGAAGTATAAGCTCATGGAATCCAGGATATTACATCACAGATCGAAGATCGAAGAGACATAGGTCAGAGAGGAACAGCATGGCGTCATCAAAATTACGCGTCTACAATGATAGGATCCCACGAGAATTGCGGCTAAGTATCGAGCGTGTTATTGGACCCGCCGACATGCCCGAACCTCTACCACCAAAAACTTATCAGAATACAGATTCTGGTGTTAGAAAGACATGTGCAATCTGTCCCAGACGGTTAAAAATGCAAACGAAGTACTGTTGTTGCAAATGCAAGAAACCAATGTGCCTTACTTGCTGCCTATAAATATGCGTTGACTGTAAATGTACGTAGTGAATGTACCAAATATTCGAGGGCTGTCATTATTTTTATTTTTTAACTTAGAAGTAAGATTTATGTTTTATTTTGATAATAGTTTATAGAAGATAACATATTTTAAGTTCATTTGTTGTTAATTACTTAATTTTAGATAAAAACGAGACTGATGTAAGTCCTTAAAATTTAGTGCCAAATAATTATGATCTCTCGAATAAATGTTGATTTTACCTGAAAAATAGCAAGTACTTTTTTTAAATTTTGTAGTTTGTTACCTCAAACACCAATCTTTTTAATGTATAAAATAGAATAATATGGCATGCAAATACACATTCTATTTCAGTACTTAAAATTTGACGTCTCTCAGTCGTCACGTCGGCGTAAGTGCTACGTATAGACCAGGTCGGCAGTTAAAGGTTAAATTGTTTTATTGAGATACCACTGCACATCTATCTATAGTCATTGTTCGACTAGCTGGTACAGTGTCAATCATCATGGAAATATTTTTAGAGCAATCAACTGAGAATTTAAAATGGATGTAACAATTAATGTCCATTGTATTGTGACACAATAGTCATGTCCTATGGTGTGCCAGTACTTCTGATATAATAGCAGCCAGAGGTGCAACTGGGTCACTTCCGACATCACGATAAAGCCATAGGTCACCGATATTACCCCCTGGCCTCTCTACACTTTCAAAATACCTACTTCACAGTTTCATTATGAACTGTTTCCGTCAGAAAATATTCTCGAGTGTTTGGTGAGTCGTCGCTGTAGTGGCGATGAATATACCCATAGCACATTGAGCTCAATGCCAGAGCACGAAAAAGGGGTTTGGCGTATGATTAAAATGAAATTGATAGTGGTTCGTAACTTCTTCCACATTATAGTCAAGAAGTGCTGTTGAGATTACCAGCCTTTATCGGGTTAATTTGAAGGTATTCAAGTGTCATTAAACAAACAGAAAATAGTCCTTCAACAAATTAGTTAAATCATTCGAACTTCAAAAACTTATATACGCTTACGCGTCTCCTAAATTATACAGTTTTGGTGATATATTTGCCTTATAACATAGAAAACTGTAGCAAATATTATGGGCACGATACTAAAAAGTCGTGGGCAGTAGCCATAACAATCCAAACATAAATCCACGCAGATAATGATTTTTACATGAAGCCGGGAGCAAGCTAATGGGCGGTAGTTGTGAATTATTAAACGCACAATGAAACATTTAGTGCAGGTAGCTGTGGTATCTCCGTGAAGTTAACCCGACAGACGCGAACTTAAACCCGGGACTGTGTTTAAAATTTCCCATTGTTGATATAATTACATTTCCTGCTAAAATTAGACGCTTCCATGCTTCTTTTGTACATGACAAATGAAAAACGTAACAAGTTTAACATTTTTAATCTATGTTTACTTCCGTTTCCTCTGCGGAGGTTTTAAAAGAAACGTATTTTTCTGGAACACAATGTTTACTGAGCATTGTATCGCGCGAGCCCACTCTGGCATGCAAATCGACTGAATCCAATTAACTTTTTGACGTTAAACAAATCCGATTAAACATTGTGTTTAACCACGACACTCAATACAGGATAATATGTGAATTATTCATTTTTTTGTATATTCATTTGCCAGCACTGGATTGTACGAATAATTTTAAGATTTTGATATTTTAAAAACTTCTTATTAACAACTTGACTTCCAGGAGCGAATGGTCCAAATCACGCGGCAGAAGGTTGGCGGTTTGGGGCTTAGCATAAAAGGTGGTGCTGAACATAAATTGCCTATCCTCATTTCAAAGATATACAAGGACCAAGCGGCTGACCAGACCGGCCAGCTGTTTGTCGGAGACGCTGTTATTAAAGGTAGGCACATACAAATTGACGAGTAGTTAAGTAACACTGAGGTGGACTACTAGCATGCACGTATGTAGTCTAGAATGGTATACTATCACATATCACAAAGAATATTCGAAAATCGATAAAATCCCAATAGGTCTTTGCCCGAACCATCAAAAGGAGTCGTACACTGACCTAAAAAATATGTTTACATCGGGTAAACAAAAACGAGGTTACAAAGATCGAAATAGTCTAGGTATTGATTTAACGTTAGCTCACAAGGATATGCCTAGGTATTGACGCAATGTATTTTAAGACGATACGGACGAATGGCGGAATAAAACCAAAACCACTGAATAAAATTAGCTCATTTTTGGGGTTGTGTCTATATGAATGTCAGAGATAAATGAAAGTTCAGAACGCCACTGGTAAATTATATTGTTCACATTAAGACACACGAAATTATCATACAAAATGCAAGTTTAACAAAAGTACCGGCCCGGCACACCGTTATATGAAGACTGGTCTTTATTCTAATTTAAGGAGGGAATAGCAATATGATACGACGCCCTACGCACACAGCCATGCACATGCATTTACATAGATGTGTACGTAAGTGTCCCTACATCATTCCCCCTCTAAATAAAAATAAAACCTAAACAGAACTACAAGGAATTACAAAAGTACAATATTAATGTGCTATTAATTAAAACTACACACATACACTACACTATACACTAAATATACGCCGTGGTGATACCAGCGCTAGGAGGGGCAGCAGCGGCGGTGGCCGGCTGCTGCGGCACGGACTGGACACGAACCACAGGCGGGTTTACATTGGCTAGGACGACTTCCCGTCGGAGCCAAGTTTTTACTCTATGATGGCAAAGTTGACGCATCCCGAAGATGATTACGCCCACCACTAACGTTGCCAAAACAATCAGTAACAGCCCCATATTATTTAATTTATTTGTCAGCTCGCCCGTGTTGACTTGGGCCTGAGCTACGGCTATATTTTCTTTAGAGTTGTAATTACCCATAATTTAATTGATAAGAACTTTTCTTACAGACAGTCTAAGGCAAAATGAATCAAATTTAGTGGCTTTTAAAGTTTAACAATTGGTTTCTTAATAATAATACATGCTAACGTAGTTAATATACGCTTACAAATAACATACAAATAATGTAACCTAAATTATTTTGTTAATTCGCAATAATTAGTTTCACAACGATAAAATTAAACATTTTCATTGAATCATTAGGTAAGCATAAGTTGTTGCAATTATTTTTAAATTTAACAATATCATCTTACCTAGCACATTGTTCAAACAACTTATACAGTAAAATTATCGAATTGCATATTTATACAAACATAACTTGCATACACCAACATACCAGCGACTTCGTTTACTTATTTATATAAAAGAATGTGTATATATGTAACGCATACCTGAATATAAATGTGTACATAAAAACATGAGTTTTACAAAGGTATATAACTTTATTATGACAATCCTAAAATAAAATAAACATAGGAAAGATAATGCATATTCAATAACAGACATTGCTGAAAATGTCTACTGTGCCAAAAGAGTCACGAACTAATTTATTCTCATGAGAACTACGACTACCTATAACGCAAATCGCACGGGTGTTCGAATTACTCTCCCGGATCGTGTTACTTTATGCTTATCTAACAACACCTGTGGTGTATTATGTGACAACCGGGAATCGTCACTGGGTATGATAGGTACATTATTACTTACTGAACTTTCATTTTCCTTAATTACAAAAGCAGGTTTCAATCGATCTATTGAAATATATGCTTCGCGTTCGGGTAACTGAATTTTAAATACTTTCGTAGATCTCTCTAAAACCTTATATGGCCCATCGTAAGGCTGTTTAAGTGATTTATGGACCTTATCATCTCGTACAAAAACATATTCGCAATCCTGCAACGCAGGATAAACAAAAATCTTACGCGAGTCTACACTATCTCTCGTTGGACGATAATGACTGATATTCTCTCGTATTTTCTCAACCAAACTACTTGGATCATTACAATCTGTTTCTTGCGATCCGTCATAAAATTCGCTTGGCAAACGTATAGTTTTTCCAAAAGCTAATTCTGCCGCGCTGATTTGTCTATCCGTACGAATCGCTGCGCGAAGCCCAAACAAAACCGTCGGTAATTCTTCTACCCAAGTTGTATTTCCGTTCAACCGAGTCATGAGTGCAGCTTTTAGAGACCTATGCCATCTCTCTACGGCGCCATTGGCTTGAGGGTGGTATGGCGTAGTGCGTATCTTATGTATTCCTAAAAAAATCATTAATTTACGAAACAAACTCGACTCAAATTGTCGGCCTTGATCGGTAGTAATGCGAATGGGGCAGCCATATCTGACAATCCAACCTTCGTATATGCATTTAGAAACTACATCTGCACTAATTTCTTGCACCGGAAATGCTTCCGGCCAACGCGTGCATCTATCAATGATGGTTATTAAATATCTAAATCCCTGTGGAGATGTTGGTAAAGGACCAACAATATCCACATGGATGTGCTCAAATCGGTTGGCCTTAGGAAATTCGCCTAAACCGGAGATCACATGTCGACTAACCTTTGACCTTTGGCATTGTATGCATGCCGAAGCCCATTGACCTACATCTCGATTCATCCCCGGCCAAAAGAAGCGTTTGGCCATCATTTTACGGGTTGCACGCACACCAGGGTGGCTTAACCCATGAACACTGTCAAACGCAGTTCTCCTAAATTTATCGGTCAAATATGGTCTCATAATATCATTAGAAATTTCGCAATAAACGGACTTATTACACGTAGGTAACATTATTTTCTTCAATTTAATATTACTATTGTTACTATCCGAACTTTGAATTATTCGCAATATGTACTCATCTTTCATTTGTTCGTCAGCAAGTTGTTCGTAGTTGAGTACAGTCGGGCACAAAACTGATTCAATGCGTGATAAAGTATCAGCCACAATGTTATCTTTACCGCTTATGTGTTGTATATCTACAGTAAACTCGCTTATAAAAAGAAGTTGTCTAGTCCTCCGAGGTGTTTCTTTATCGTCTTTTCCTATTTTCGAAAATGCATGACATAGTGCTTTGTGGTCTGTATACACTGTCAAAGGTCTTCCTTCAAATAATTTTCGGAAATACCTAATAGATTTATAAATGGCAAGTAATTCGCGATCATATGTAGAATATTTCTGTTCTGTTGATGTGAGTTTTTTGGAAAAATATCCTAGAGGTTGCCAGGAACCACTTACCTTCTGTTGCAATACTGCTCCCATACAGGTATTGGAAGCGTCGGTCATCAGTGCTAACGGTACATTAGGAAGAGGATGTGACAAAGTAACGGCCTTTTGAAGACCTAGCTTACATTGCACAAACGCGTTTTCCGAAGTATCATTCCACGCAATTCTAGTCTTATCATTTCTTTTCGCATTAACTAAATATTTATTCAGTTCGCATTGATATGATGCTAAATTAGGTAGATGCGGTCTATAAAAATTTAACATTCCCAAAAAACGACGCAGGTCAGCTATGGTTTCCGGTTTCGGAAAATTAACTATGGCTTCAACCTTTTCACCGAGTGGTCTAATACCTTGGACGCTCACTTCATGTCCTAAAAATTCTATTCGCGACTGTCCGAAACTGCACTTCTTTAGATTGATAGTAATGTTGTAATTGTTGAATCGTTCAAAAACCAACCTTAAATGTTCCCTATGTTGAGTCGCATTTTCGCTGGCAATAATTACGTCATCTAAATAATTGAATAAAAATGAATCTAGGCCTTGCAGAACAGTATTATTCATAAATCGCTGGAATGTTTGTGCGGCGTTACGCAAACCAAAAGTCATGCGAGGAAACTCAAATAAACCAAAAGGAGTTATTATCGCGGTTTTTTCTACATCCTGTGGTGCAACACAAATACAGTGATATGCTCGATTTATGTCTAATTTAGAAAAAATCATTTTATTGGCTAAAATGTACGTAAAATCGTGCAAACGAGGTATTGGATACCTGTCAGGCTTCGTAATGGCATTTAATTGGCGATAATCGCCGCAAGGACGTAGCTCGCCGTTCTTTTTAGGAACCACGTGCAACGGACTTGCCCAAGCGCTCATAGAGGGCCTGCAGATACCCAGTTCCTGCATGACTCTAAATTCTTCCTTAATTTTGTTATATCTATCTGGTGGCAATGGACGGGCACGCGCGTGAACAGGCAATCCGGTTGTTTCAATATAGTGAAAAACATTATGTCTAGGAGTTTCCTTAAATGACGGTGGTTTGGTAAGGTCAGGGTACATACTTAGTAAATCATAATACGGGTGGCTTTCTACAATGGAATTTACAGACTGCTGATCAACATTAACTATTGAGGCCACAACCTTCATATCCGTAGTCTGATCAACTAACCTACATCTAGCTAAATCTACAAGAATTTTGTGGTGAGATAAAAAATCTGCCCCAAGAATGGGCTGTCTGACGTTTGCAATTATGAATTCCCAACGGTACGGTCTACGGAGTTTGAGGTCTAATATTAAAGTTTTAGTACCATACGTCGCAATTTCTGTACCGTTGGCGGCATATAATTTGTAATCACAACACTGCATACCTTTGAAAAGTCTTTTTGTTACGGGTAAAACAGATACATTTGCTCCCGTATCGACGAGGAAACGTAGTCCGGAGTTATAATCTTGTACTAATAAACGGCTGCAGGGAGTAAGGGCACAGACCTCAGCCGACGGCTGTACCACGGCTCTTAGTTTTCCGACCTCTGCTGGTTGTCCTCGTTGCGTTCGGGGGTTGATTGCGACTTCCATGCGCACGGTGGAATGCATCGATGAGCTCTGTGACGATAACGGAAGTGGTAGTCACATAACCAATTGGATGAATTCGGGTTACGTCGTTTTGATGAAGAGCGGGACGTTTGTCTAAAACGGTTAACTTTTTGTCTCGACCTGGACCTTGACCTCGAATGTTCCAAATTATTCAGCCTGGCGTTGATTTTAGCAAGCTCAGCTGCGATACTCGCTACATTGCAGGTGTTTTCAGGTTGTCCTCGCGAGGATGAGGTCGGCGTCTGAGCTAATTCAGAAACATGGCTAATTCGCGTTGCTTCCGCGACGTTGTCTGCAATGACCGCTAAATTGTCCAATCCCTTCGTTTCTGACACCACTAAGACTGCTCGTACGGTTGCAGGTAGATGCCCCTGCCATAAGACTCTCAAGGTATCGTCCGGTATTTTATCTCGGGCCAAATCTCGCATTCGGTGCAGGAGCTGAGAGGGCTTTTGATCGCCCAGCTCCATTTCGCCGATGAGTTTTTCAATTTGCCGGGTTTTTGAGTCTTCCAGTAGTGTAAGCAATTTCGTCTTCAAGGCCATGAACTTGCCAGTTTCGGGAGGTTTTGATAGGAAATCTGACAACTGCGCAATAACATCCTTGGGTAATTTTGATACCACCAAATCGAATCTTGCGTCATCTCCTAATTTCTGAGGTGCCAAAATAGCTTCCACACGTATAAACCACACACGAGGTTGATCAATCCATAATTCCGGAATGCGTGACGAAATCGAAATTGCTAACACTTCTGACGGTGGAACGGGTGCTGCCGGTGACTCCATCATTTTTGGAAAAAACGGAACTCACTCACAAAATGTTCTTTGTCGGGGTCACCAATTTTGGGGTTGTGTCTATATGAATGTCAGAGATAAATGAAAGTTCAGAACGCCACTGGTAAATTATATTGTTCACATTAAGACACACGAAATTATCATACAAAATGCAAGTTTAACAAAAGTACCGGCCCGGCACACCGTTATATGAAGACTGGTCTTTATTCTAATTTAAGGAGGGAATAGCAATATGATACGACGCCCTACGCACACAGCCATGCACATGCATTTACATAGATGTGTACGTAAGTGTCCCTACACTCATCAATATCCTGCAGGGAAAGAAACATATATAATCCTTTAGACTAGTTGTTTTTATGAGGTTAATCAGTTTTCATCCGCAACTTAAAAATAAATATATCTTTACTAAACTACCTTTGCTAACATGTTAGCAGCCAATAAAATATTCACCAACCTTTTGTCTTCATTAATTAAGTTCGTCGGAACTAAAATTGGTTTCGCGGAACAGGAAATAGGTGCAAGCATCAACAGGTATTGTACCCGTCAGGTGGTCGGGTTCTATTGAGGTTTTTCCGTTAGACTCAAGAGATTAAGGTGTTAGGTAGAGTTTAGATATTCTCGAATACTTATGTGCAATCGCTTGAACAGCGTTTTGTGATTGCCTTTTTAGTAGTTTATTGTAACTTGAGTAGATAAATGGCCATGCATGGACCCATGGACAGAAATTGGAAGAAATAAAAATAGTCTGACAAAGTGATTGTTATTTGCTGGATGTTACCTCTTGTCTGTCGGAATGGAGATCTACGCGAGACAATGTGTTTTTATTGTGTCTCATATATCGACAGACAAGAGGTTTAATGTAGGAGATAAACAATATCTTTACCTAGTAGTTCAATAACTACTAGTTTATTTAGCTATAGTTATTTATTAGCTATGCGAATATTTAAAAGAGCCTAAAAGAAACAAAGTAATACAAACGCGCAAAACTTCAGTACAATTGTTTATCTTGCACATCTCTCGTCGTACACAGCCGTAGATTACAGTTAATTCCTGGAATTAGTTGCAACGCCGGTTCCATCCAATTGCTTAACAAGTTGCAATTAGATGCTACTGGATGCAAATACTACGTTGAGGCAACAATTAGAAGCAATTTAGACGATTCCAAATACTCCTGGGAAGGAACTGTGTCGTTTTTAGGCATAATTTGAGCTTGATTGATTAGCAGACTGGCAGAATGGATGGGTATCTAATCGAATTTCACGAGTTTCCACAATGATTGACAGTCTTGTTTGTTTAATATTGTATTACTTGTCTGTTCCATGTTAATTGATAGGATTCATTCGTTCAAGTTAGCTTTGTTTTGAATTTCGCGTAAATATTTAATGGATCTGATGTATGGAAATAATTTGATTCCGTACACATCTTATAAATCAAAGTCCTTCACCACGTCTATCTTTTTGTCTGTTTATCTGTTCTGGGGTTTTGATGCGGATTAAGCGTACATTCGTTAATATTAGGCACAGTACTTGTTTAGTATTTTATAATGCTTCAAACTACATGTTATTATCAGGATACGTTTGATGATATCTAAAGTATGTCACAATAAAGCGACCAATGTATTCTCGGATATGTAGGTCACCGAGTTCGTCAGTTAACGCATCAATGTTAGATCAAGAAAAGATGATTTCATAAGCGACGCCGTTGTGCAAGAGCTTCATATAATTACCGGGATCAAACGCCCGAGCTGTGCTATAAATACAACCGCAGTAATGCGGAACAATAAAAATTACTCAGTGCAATATGTATGCGGAATTTGTATTGCATATTACAATAGTTTAGAAAGTAGAATAAACGATTTAAATTATCAAACAAACAGTTATTTTATAGTCGTAAGATTATTACATAGGTACGTAACAAGTAGATTCACATAACTGATAAGAAGTGTGTGCTTTCGTTCTCTCAATCTCCTTACTGAAGGAACTCCAAACATTATTCTTTGATTTCGTATAATTTATACATAAAAATGGTCTTTATTGCAGTTAACGGAGAGTACATAACGGCGTGCAAGCACGATGATGCGGTGAACATACTCCGGAATGCAGGAGATATTGTCGTGCTCACTGTCAAGCACTACAGAGCCGCTACACCTTTCCTGCAGAAACAAGGTGAGGGAAACAATACTGTTCTTTCTACCTTAGAGTGTAACTGTGGCTATTTAATATTTTATCACAACATTAGTACCAAATTACCTGGGGTAGTTTTTAAAGAAAGAAATTTTTCCCGTTGTATTTTCTTTTATATTATAATATTGTTTCAGCGGACGGTGCTTCGGACACAGACAGCAGTACAGGTGACGACCACCCGTCACTACACAATAAGAACGTGGACGCTAATTGCAATACTGAGAAGAACACTGAACAAACTAATGGAGGTTGGCAGGTATGTTTGTAGCTTTTGTAACTAAAACAATAATAATGATGATACGATACATTCTGAATGTTAATTCCTGTACTTTGAAATTATGTAGTTGCCCTGCGCCTGATATCACCAGGATTTTAGCCCATCGAGCGTCCACGTTCCTTATAATCCGACGGGTGCACACGTGACATTTGGAGAAAGAAAGAAAATGCATTTATTTGGCCATTGGCACACGAAAACAAGGATCATTACAATAGAAATAAAAAATACAGTTAAAATAAAAACAAAACATTAATAATAGATTTTATAAAAGAGAAAGCAGCATGGAGCATTTTTTTTTATGATCCACCAGGTGCTCATAAGGACGCTCGAGGGGTTAACAGATCAGTGTACTTTCGGATCATGTGGAGGGAAGAAGCATATAAAATGTTTTGCATATTTGGCTTAGGTAAAGGTACCAGTTGCACTAGGGCGGATGCTTTTAATACGTAGCTTAGCTTTGGAAAATAAGAAACGGAAGCAGTATTTGCGGTTTTGTCCCGCAATTAATTTTAAAAACGCCGATGCTCTAGTGCGGCCGAGGTCGAGAAATGTGTAGAGTAGTGGTACAAGTCCGGTGTGTTGTGCAGAGCGCGTGGGGCGAGTGCGAGGAGGGCGCGGGGAGCCGGCCGGGCAGCGCGCCCGGCTCCGCGCGCGGCTCGCGCCCGCCCTCCGTCGCCTCCGACGTGCCCGACACCAACCGGGACTGGCGGGACGTCGTCTCCGGTACTTATACTCTAATACTACTTGGAACTATCATAGTACCATCTTCTTTCATTATCTTCCATTAGACATCTTCACAAACCCATATTTCATAATAATTTTTCAGACAATCTTCTATCTCTTTTTTAATTTGTTCATTTTCATCTAACTACATTTCAAATCTACGCTCCTTTTACTGGAAGCCAAAACTTTTATTAAATGTCACGTTTTCCTAAATATTTTAGTTTCACACTATCTTTTATTCACCAGTTCTACAGGAGAAAAAATAAGATCCAACTTTTAGGATATCAATTTAATACGTCTGTATTAATATTACAGTTCCATTGATGATGGGTTACGTCACGAGATACGTGCTAGGAACAGATAAACTACGACCTGGCGCGTTTGAGGTATGTCTGCACTAGAAATCACCCATTTCAGTATCACTTACAACATTATAATAATGGATACTATTGTATGTTTGTGTGTCCAGGTTCGTGGTGCCCGTCCTCATCTAACGACGGGAGTGATCCACGCAGAGGACCCGGCGGCACTTTCTCAGTGGTTAAAAAGTATTTCAGACAACATTGTAGGACTTACTAATCTCCAGGTAAACACTCATTTAAGGTTGATGTCATTTTAGAGTACAAATGATTGCATGATTGGATCATGGGGTATTGATGTGGGTCTAAGTCAAACTATTTTTTTATTCAATTACAGCTAAATCGCATGTTTGAACGTTTATTAATGTCTATGATTCACATAACATAACATTACGCCTTTTATTCCCGAAGGGATAGATAGTTTTGCACATTACACTCACGATACTTAATGCCACTGTACAATGTAACACCCACTTTTTACTATTTATGAGTCCCATGTAGTAGGGAGTGAGCCTATTGCCATATACCGGGCACATTGCCAGACTCCGTGCTACTACTGAGATTTTTTAAAACCCAGTAGTACTTTACCCGACCCGGGAATCGAACCCGAGACTCCTTGCCCAGAAGTCCAACTTGCGACCACTGGGCCACCGAGGCAGTCTATGATACCTATCGAGTATATTGAATAAGAAACTCTACATTCAGTTGTTTCCTAATTTCAGATGAAATTGTTCAACCGTCACTTCGGTCCGGGCGAGCGCATCGAGTACATGGGCTGGGTCCACGAGGGAGTAGTACAAGCTCAGCAACCCTGGCAGACTTACAGACCTAAGTTCCTCGTACTCAAGGGAACTGATGTTATGTTGTTCGATGTTCCGCCCGTAAGTACTTTGCTATATAGACAAGACACACATTTCACAGTAAATTAATTAAATGTAAACAAGTCTATTTAAATAAAAGCTGTTTCAACAGAGTCGCAGACTAAATTACATAATGTTCATGCGGTTTACTCTCATCATTGTATTATTTTTTGAGACTGTAATTGATTGAGGTCTCTGATGGACTCCGAAACAGAATTTTTTTTTGTTTATAAGATTGCAGATTGTTTTAAAATTCTGACATTTGTTTTAGATGTCGAGTACGGAGTTGGCGAAATGTCCAGAGAGCCTGAAGGTCTACCAGACGATGTTCCGTACGGTGAAGGAGAGTGAGACGGTGGACTGGCGCCAGCACTGCTTCTTAGTACAGAGCTCGGCGCCCGGGCCGGCCGGGGCCGCGCCGCCCGGGCCCAGGTACTTCAGTGCCGAGACCAGGCAGGACCTACTCAGGGTCGAGGCCGCATGGACCACCAACATTGTCAACTCTGTTATACGACTCGGGGTCAGTACTAACTAAATTTTTATTGTAGACTTAGATAGAATTTTCTGTGTTAACCTATGCTTTTTCCAGGTAATAAAAGTCAGTGTTAAAATTAATACATAGTAGAAAGAATAAAAAATGTAGTAAAAAGAAAACAACTGAGAATTTACTAGGTATTTGTTTCTTACTTATTGAAAAATAACTTAAAGTAATGACATAAATTAAAATGGTTGTGAAAGTGAAGGGGATATCAGTCAGTAAACAATCTAGTTCTTGGGCGGCTTGTGCCTCGGGCGCGCGTGTCTCGCGGGGCGGCGCGAGGCGACGTCGTCCATGCGACGCTTGAGGTGCGGGTAGGGCTGCAGGCACGCCATGAACGATGCACTGTCCAGGCTGCCAGGGACCACAGATACATTCATTTTCTCTCACTCAATTAATCTTAACTAAAAATCGCTAGGCGATATCGCGCAATCTACTGGCAGCGAGTAGGCTGCGCGACATCGCTACGACCGCGCACGCTGCTCATGAGGAAGAACCCCTCTGTAGTTCGAAACTAGTAGAGCTTTTCTCAGTATATAGTGAGTAACCCGCGATTTTTAGTTAATTTAGTGTGTCTCACGACAGTTAATAGAAAAACAAAATTTAATCTTGTTCCGACTTACATCGGGTGACGGTAAGGTATTAATTAAAAATAAAGTTGTCAAAAAACCGTCAAGCGATAGATTGAAACGAAAATAACCTCATATTATTAAGCGTATTGCCTCTGTCATGTTTTTGTTTGCATCAACAAAAACGTATAATAAAATTCTTTATCTACACAAACTTACTTATAAATCTCTGTAATCTCGAGCGCGATGATGGTAGCAGTGCGTAGTATGCCGGGCGATAACAAAGCGTTCTCGCCAAAGAACGCACCGTCTCGTAGATGCGCCACCTACATTACCAGGCCATAAGTATTGTTGTATAGTATGTGTGTGGAGACGAATAAATTATTGTGTGTTCTCACCTCTCTTCCCGTGGCATCCATAACTGCCACAGTTCCGGAAGATATCAAGTGTATCGATTCGCCAGGCTTGTTGACTTCTACCACCTTCTGCGAACAGTAAAATAATAATTAACAAAGATTAAAACATGGAGTACTGTAACTGATGAGACTGAACGTTATCAAAGTGAAGTACCTGGCCAGGCATGTACAAGACTTGCTTCAAACTGAATATAATGGAGTTGATGAGTGCGACCGGCATGTCCTGGAACATCGGCACGTTCATGACGAGTCGCTGGCAGCAGTGCATGTTGATGTCCTGGCGGATCTGCTCGTTGATCGTGTTCTTGATCGCCTCCTCGTGGAAGAAATGCTCGTTGAACTTGTAGTTAATGAACAATCTGATCTTTCTCTTCAAATACTTCGGCAACCGCATGAACACCATGTACTCCTCTAACTCTCTGGACTTGCCACTGAAGCAGTAAGTTTCGAACTGGTGATATATCGCCAGGCGGAGGAGGGCGGAGAAAGCATACGTGAGGAACAGTAGCCCCAGCAGTCCCATGCCCGAGGATAGCAGTAGCTCGGGGACGAAGTGGGTGTCCAGCGGAGTGTAGTAGCCCGCACCGATACACAGCCCACATACCAAATAAAAATTCGTGCTGTACTTCTCAAATATCGAATACCCGCCACCCGCACGTGTCATGATGTGAAACCGTTTTAGCCATGCTATGAAAGCGTCAGTCTTTTCGTACAGATGATAGCATAATATTGGTACTTGATAATGTATGTAAGTCATCCAATGAAAGAACATGATCAACATCACAAATATCTTTAACGCGACGTAGTTGATGTACGTCAGCTGCAATTGGCCGATGACGTTTTTCCATTGCGCTTTCAGTGATGTACATCTTAGAAGTTTAAATAGGAACATGATTGTATGAGTCGGGTACTCGCACTCGCTAAATGGTTCTATTAACTGTAAAGGTAAACACCCGATGAAATCTGTTATGAAGTTTGTCTTCAAGTAGTTTATCGCTATCATTTTTGGATCTAGGATGATAATTTTGTGTTCGTGTTCAAGATAGCCTGTCACGAACAGGGAACAAACGTTGAGGAAAGCCAGCGCGTCAGTGAATAGAATGAACGGGTCGTAATAATTAGGACCTGAAAACAATAAAATCTGTCATTTACTTCGGATTAGAAAAGACTACCTACGTGATGCCGAGAATTTTTCAAATATTTTTTTTTTTATACGAAATAAAGAAATGTAAATAAGAGCAATTACATTTGATGAAGACTTGCACGGGCATGTAGAGGAAGACGGCGAACACGAAGAAGAGTTGCATGCAGTCCCAGTAGTACTTGATGGGGCTGTACGGGTGCCAAACGCACGACGCGTGGCGCGCGCGCTCCTTGTGCAGCCGCTGCAGGCTGCGGATGAACAACGCCGCGCCGTGGTGCCGCGCGCTCGGCAGGACCAGCCCGCGGACCACGCAGCGCTGGGGACACGCGATAGTCACCTCTATGTAACTGTACTATAACATACAGCCGTGGTCGCGACCCAGCCCGCGGACCACGCAGCGCTGGGGACACGCGATAGTCACCTCTATGTAACTGTACTATATCATACAGCCGTGGTGCCGCGCGCTCGGCAGGACCAGCCCGCGGACCACGCAGCGCTGGGGACACGCGATAGTCACCTCTATGTAACTGTACTATATCATACAGCCGTGGTGCCGCGCGCTCGGCAGGACCAGCCCGCGGACCACGCAGCGCTGGGGACACGCGATAGTCACCTCTATGTAACTGTACTATATCATACAGCCGTGGTGCCGCGCGCTCGGCAGGACCAGCCCGCGGACCACGCAGCGCTGGGGACACGCGATAGTCACCTCTATGTAACTGTACTATATCATACAGCCGTGTTGCCGCGCGCTCGGCAGGACCAGCCCGCGGACGCGCAGCGCTGGGGACACGCGATAGTCACCTCTATGTAACTGTACTATATCATACAGCCGTGGTGCCGCGCGCTCGGCAGGACCAGCCCGCGGACCACGCAGCGCTGGGGACACGCGATAGTCACCTCTATGTAACTGTACTATATCATACAGCCGTGGTGCCGCGCGCTCGGCAGGACCAGCCCGCGGACCACGCAGCGCTGGGGACACGCGATAGTCACCTCTATGTAACTGTACTATATCATACAGCCGTGGTGCCGCGCGCTCGGCAGGACCAGCCCGCGGACCACGCAGCGCTGGGGACACGCGATAGTCACCTCTATGTAACTGTACTATATCATACAGCCGTGGTGCCGCGCGCTCGGCAGGACCAGCCCGCGGACCACGCAGCGCTGGGGACACGCGATAGTCACCTCTATGTAACTGTACTATATCATACAGCCGTGGTGCCGCGCGCTCGGCAGGACCGCCCGCGGACCACGCAGCGCTGGGGACACGCGATAGTCACCTCTATGTAACTGTACTATATCATACAGCCGTGGTGCCGCGCGCTCGGCAGGACCAGCCCGCGGACCACGCAGCGCTGGGGACACGCGATAGTCACCTCTATGTAACTGTACTATATCATACAGCCGTGGTGCCGCGCGCTCGGCAGGACCAGCCCGCGGACCACGCAGCGCTGGGGACACGCGATAGTCACCTCTATGTAACTGTACTATATCATACAGCCGTGGTGCCGCGCGCTCGGCAGGACCAGCCCGCGGACCACGCAGCGCTGGGGACACGCGATAGTCGCCTCTATGTAACTGTACTATAACATACAGCCGTGGTGCCGCGCGCTCGGCAGGACCAGCCCGCGGACCACGCAGCGCTGGGGACACGCGATAGTCACCTCTATGTAACTGTACTATAACATACAGCCGTGGTGCCGCGCGCTCGGCAGGACCAGCCCGCGGACCACGCAGCGCTGGGGACACGCGATAGTCACCTCTATGTAACTGTACTATAACATACAGCCGTGGTGCCGCGCGCTCGGCAGGACCAGCCCGCGGACCACGCAGCGCTGGGGACACGCGATAGTCACCTCTATGTAACTGTACTATAACATACAGCCGTGGTGCCGCGCGCTCGGCAGGACCAGCCCGCGGACCACGCAGCGCTGGGGACACGCGATAGTCACCTCTATGTAACTGTACTATAACATACAGCCGTGGTGCCGCGCGCTCGGCAGGACCAGCCCGCGCACCACGCAGCGCTGGGGACACGCGATAGTCGCCTCTATGTAACTGTACTATAACATACAGCCGTGGTGCCGCGCGCTCGGCAGGACCAGCCCGCGCACCACGCAGCGCTGGGGACACGCGATAGTCACCTCTACGATAACTACTATAACATACGTAATATGAAACCCATTCGTACTGTTACGACATTCGATTATCGGGGTTGTTTGAATAGAATATCATATGCATCCAAAGCAGGATATAAGCCACTCTAATCATGCTACTGATCGAGATCTTAAGCTCTTCATCAGCGCCGTGAATAGGTTCCTTTTGTGTTACTGAAAGGCACCCCTGAAGTTCTGCTCTAGCCCAAATGCATTGTTTCATTATTCAAACCATTTTTCAAATCAAAATACTTATTTGTATCTAACCTGTCTCTGAAAAAAGTTAGCAGTCGGTGGCACATCCGCACATTCAGGCGTTTGCGAAATTGTACAAACATGTTTGCCGTCTCCGTACATTCTTCTTTATCCTTATCCTAATTCTTATAAAAATAATAAACGAATTATTCTTAGAACAAAAAACTTGACAGATGTTGACGTTAAGTAATTTTATTTTTGTCTTTCATAATCCACAGATGTGAAATCCTTTTTAAAACAAAAAGGTTTATCAAAAAGGATCATTGTATTTTCTTCAATACTTCTTGCTGCATACAATGATGGTCAAGCCGTCAACCCTTGTATAATGTGCACCAGCATTACCAATAAAAATCTAAATACGTAATAAAGTATGTATTGTTACAGAAGAAAACATTCACAGTAGTACACATGGGCCGCGCGGCGGGACTGACGTTAGACTGGGCGGCTGGGTTCTCACTCAGTGAGGGCACACCCGGAGCCAAACCTGTTTGGGCATACCGGTGAGTAGATACAACTTACGAATAAAGTTATAAAATCATTTTTTTTCACGGCCTCCAAAGCATTGCTGCCAAACTAAAATTCAGTAAGGTCGAAATTATTGTCCATGAGTAGAAAACGTCATTAGTTACTCAGATGGCCTCTTCCTTTGATTTTTAAAGCAGTACTCTTTTGTTTGCTTCTCAGATTTTCTCAACTCCGAGGATCCAGTGATGATGGCAAATCAAAATTAAAACTACACTTCCAAGACTCTGAGACTAAAGTTATTGAAACGAAGGTAAACTATACCTAACAACAAAATATATTCAATCGAGTTTTGACTTTGTTATTATGTTATACAGTTGAAAATCGATATGTCGGTCTGTCGGTATACTGAATTAAGTTCTTATATTTTTGTTCCAGGAACTAGAATGCCAGATTCTACAGAGCTTATTGTTTTGCATGCATGCGTTCCTGACGGCGAAGGTAGCGTCTGTCGACCCCGCCTTCCTCGCGTCCATACAACAGTCCAATTAGAACCTTATTTCAATAAATACAAGTTTGGTTATTAATTATTTAAGAATTGGGCACACTAATGGATCACGTTGGTATAATACAAAGTAGGGTAATATGTGAGTGTTCATGAGTTTGTACCTTAAAGCATGAATGAAGTAAAAGCGTACGTGTGGCGTTTGAAGTGAAATAATCCATTAGTGTCCCAAATAGAAACTGTTCAGTTTGACTCAGTTCTGTATCATTTTGTTTTGTTCTCAATATATGAGGAACTCACAACGTGAATGACAGATTAGTATAAAGCGGTTTTGGGTTATTTGAATTCCCATATTTGTGATATTGAAAAGATCTATTGAAATAACGAAGTCCGAAATGAAAAAATAGAGGTCAATAGAGTAACTTCCGAAGATGGTTTACTTGATGTATAAAGCGGAATGAATATTACTTTAGTTAAAGGCCTAAACATTTAGAACCCAAACAGCGAATGTTGAAAGACTAAATTATAAATGTAGTACTGTTGTCTCTTACAAATCTATTTTTGAATCTTACTTCTATCGTTATTAGGGTGATATTTGCAAAATACCCTCGTCTTCCCTGTACATACTTTCTAGAATCTTCTATTAATTGCTTGGAGTCTTTAACATCACAATTTTTCTCCAGAAAAATCACATTTCAGAACTTCATAAAACTGAATTTTATATTCTATAGATTTATTTACATTTCTAAAAGTAAAATAATTTATGTCATAGTTTCAACACAATAAAACAAATATCTTCCAGAAACCCATTTTCAAAATGAACTTAGTAGTCCCAATATTTTAATTTAAGGTTATCCATTCCGATCCAAAGTACCTTAAAAGCTGATATAAAACACATTTTAATAATAATATCTAACTTAATGACGATCGACAAATAACTATGTAATAATTAGTATTTACTAATTACTTGGAATACTACATACAAACCCATTTGTAGTTTATATTTGTTACACTGTAATAATGTAACAAAATGGAGATGTCTCTATAAAAATGAAATATATCGATATATACAACAATGTCGATAAAAATCCATAAATTTTTATTGCAATCATATGATTGGGTTGCACTTTTTTGCAACCATTAAAAAAAAACAAATGCGCTTTTAAATTATAATGTATGACGAATTATGATTCTCACGACTCTAATTCTCATAAGTCCAATTTATAAAATTTCCTAATACTATCGAATTGCTAGATAATTGGCGACGCGCGATTACATATAATATGCATAAAGCTGCATTTTTACTTTGATTAATAAATAAACTTTAAACTTCAAACTAACTTTAGTTCGGAATTATTTCGAACAAATTACATTCTTAAAGTTTTTTTTAAATATTCAGCCTAAATTGCTATACGGCAAAGAATATAAAAAAATGCTTATCGAAATACGGAAGCAATTGTTTTCGACAAAATCGGTATGAATTCGGAATAAAAAAGTGTGAATTCGATAGTAAATCGACTAAATACTCATTTTAGTAACCTATAGTACTCAACACACCAAAGATTTTTAATGTTTGATCGTTCATATTGTTAGCGGTAGACATGTGTACGTGATATATTCTCGAATGAGGCTATTTATTGACTGAAAAGTATCGAAGGTAGGCATGGAATGTACTTAATCGATACATGGATTTTTTATCGTGAACATTCGATGCGTATATTTAAAACTAATGTAATGTCCACACAGTTGATGACGAATGAGCTGTGAAGCATTAGCTCAATGTCAGCTGAGTATTCATCTATCGAACTGAGTACATGTTCCATGTATAAGCGTGTATAGGTATTATTATATTAGAAATATTTATTATATAAAATATATATTATAATTATGAAACATTTTAAATTGTTTGAAATTGGTAAACTTTGCGCTTGCTTCATATCATTAAATTTAAGTAAATGAATTATATCGTCGCCACTGATATGTTATCGAAATCATAGATTTTCTTATACAGGATGTTGTTTAGTGGCTGTTTGAGTTTCTACATATTCTAAATGACTTTATTTAATGTTTTCTTTTATTGCTGAAGTAAAACTTCCTTAAGAAGATCATCTTATTGCTGCTGCAGCTTATATATTGTTTACGTCTTCGTATAGAACAACAACTTACACAGCCACTAAGTAATCACCACTCTATATAATTTGTTGATATAAATTTTATATTTTATCTGTAAAACTTATCTGCCTTGAGGCTCTATTTAATATAGTACTGTGTAGATCTATTAATTATTTTAAATTTAACTAGTTATATCATTTTATAAATGAATTAGACTGTACTATATGATTATTATTATTATATTAATTTAAGTAAGAAATCGTCTGGATCACAGTTTTGAAGGCATTTTTTTGTAAATCAGACTTCAACCTTATGTGAGAGTGAATGAGATAGCTTATTGCATACAAGATACGCCCTTGTACTTCTAGTTTAAGTTTCTAAACACTTGAAACGTCCCAGAGTACAAGAGCACGCCTTTGATATCGACTAGTCTTCGTTAGTCGACAATAATGAGTACTGACTAGACTGATATTTCGAGGGGTGACATGTACCCAGCTGTATACACTAGCGTCGCGGTATCGATAAGCTACTCGTCTCGTATCGAGTAACAATATGTCCAGCAATCTTGGTAGGCACGTAGAGTAGACAGATAGACTATAGACAACTGCCAGACCATTTCTTATAAGAAGACTAAAGTTGTTCAAGACATTTATTTAGAGTACTTATGAAGTAATTGTTGAAGTAGGTGTTCGGCTAAAGAATTTAATTGTTTCAGTTGTATATTGTATAGTTGTTTGTATAAAGCCTTGTGTACTGTCAATTTGTACTAACGTCGATTGTAATTACGGTAGGAATCGGGTTGAATTAGGACTATATCTTTCACATGCTCTTAGTTTGTTTAATTTCTTATGATGACTTAATATTGGCAACGATTTTTCACATTTTGTTCTAGAGGATACTGATGAAGTAAAAGCAATGAGCTCACTTTTGTAATAGTAAACTTTGAATAGTAAACGTCTTTGTTAACAAGGTGTGTGACAGATATGGACCAATTTTGTACGTATGTAAACAGTATTACATTTTATATAACTCCGAGTTAAACGAGTTTGCACGTCGTTATAGATTTTATTTCTTCATTATCGTACTTAGATCATGATTCACGTATTAGTTTTGTGAATATTATAAACAATTTAATGTCGGACATTATGTGAAGTAGCGGAATTATTCGGTAATCGAATGTTTTATAGTGATGCCACACATGTACCACGTGGTGTCGCGAGCGCACTTTTGTTAAATGTTTAGTGAATACGTTTATTACGTGATTTGACATAATATTCCTCTATTGGGACTGTAACTTATATTATTCTTTGTTAAATACGTTTTAACTTTACATTTATAAGTTTATATTTAAGTTTGAAATTAATAAATCCATTTCATCCACACTTAAATGTTCAGAGAACCATTCTGTCATTGAAGATACTCGATTTTTGAAATAAATCGTTTTATCTAACATTAAAAGTATAACATCGTATCGTACTTAGCGTATGCTGAGCTTATACTTTCCTTGTAACCTCCTTGTATTGTAATTACTACAGATGAATCGATTAGTCAATTTAGAGAATATACTCAAGACTGAACTTGGATGTTGTGCGAGCACACCTTACTTTAGACCCATGCTTCATATAGGACCGTTTTGTAACATAACTCAATAGTAAGAAAAGTAAAAAAAAAACTAACATTGCTTCATTGGTTAAATCCGATGTACCGATCTAATATGGGTATTTAACAAAAATGTCAGTAATTACAGCGAGTCTGGAATTACTGGAACTTGTTCGCCTTTTATTAATGAGATCTTTACTTAGCCAATGGCTATTCAGTCGCCCTCCAATGTTTTAGACTCATTATTTTGAAATGCGACATGGATAACATTATTGTTTTATTGATACACTAGAGGATCGGTTTAGCTTCTCGAAAACACTCTCTACTCTCTATACGAGTATCAATTTCTAGTTATAAAATTTTAAGTGTCAATTTATAAGTCAATCAAAGAAAATGGTTCAATTACGTACATTGTAAGATAAAAGTAACCATTTATCAGTGCAGGTGCAAAACGGTCCTCAATATATTGAATTATTTACTTTTATGTATTGTCTATAGTAGAAGTAATTATGAAGTTGCATCTTTTTAGTTACTTAACTAAATTTAGTTTTTTTATTAGACTGAGTATATATTCAAGTGCAAATTCAATATAAACAAGAATCTCTGTATAATATGAATTTTTCCTTTTAACATACAAATAGTGTTGCATAAATAAAACTCAGTCTAAAATGTAATAAGTAATGGCATATAGTTTTTTTAAATGTCATTTCATTGCATACCTATATTAGTATCGAACGCCTTTTTGATTCCTAGTGTTGAGAATAATCAATAAGAAACAGTGACGCCCAAAACTTCTTAAATGTTATTCTCAACGCTAGATGGCGCTACAATCACGAATGAGATGACTAGAGGGCGCCATCATCGCTGTCCTTAACACATTTAACTCATAAATTCATTAATTTTCGAATTTATATAAAAAGTAAATTTAATTTATAAGCTAAACGCGTGTATTTATAACTTGTGTAAAAGGGTCGAGTGATGGTCGCGTCAATTGTTCCGGTCATCTGTCTGTCACCTGATTATGTAAAGGAAATGTACCACGACTAAGTGGGTAGTGACTAATCTAGTTATTTATACCTATTGTTGATTAATGTAACTATATTGTATCCATTAGTAAAATATTAATTCAATAACTTTGTAGTTTCAATTATTTAGTTTCATGTAGATATCCCTAGCTTTTAGTTTGGAATGCTTCCATGTTGATTGTAGATTGGGAGGTGTAGAGAAAAATACACATTATTTTATTATATTATTTAATCCAAGCTTGAGGAACAAAGTAAAGCTACACAAAGACAAAAAACTAACAGCACTAAACATTCGTGTACGAGGTGTAAAAATAATTTCATATTCAATGAATACAATGAAAACATATTTTAATTTTTATATAGAATTTGTGCGATAGATCAGATCATAAAATATTCATATTATTATTACAAAATTTCTGCAGACTGGAGGACAAAAAAAAAAGAAAAATCATAGAAATCAATTAAATGACATATTTTTTTTAAATGCATAGAAATCACATCTAAGAAGCCCTTAAAGTTTGTTTTCACCAAGAGTTTTACGAAACATTGCGTTAAAACTGCAAACCTACAATACATTAATGATAACACTAATTATATGAAGCACATAAGATCGTATAAAAACAGGAATCACGAATAGTAGAAAGCAACACCGTCCTAGCACACATAAGTTTATAAACATCGATATATATAAACACGTATGTATCAGCATGGCTTGTATATAAACGGAAATGTTCTAAAATAGTGGCTTTATAGTACAGAGTAACTTGTGCGTATCTATTACGTTTCTACATAATTATATAATTTTGGTAGATTGTAATAATATTAGAACCTAGGGACTCAAGATTAATTTCAATTTGTCGAACTCGATGTAAAACTTTTTTCTTCTATTTTATCGATGTAGTTACATCTCTAAATTGACTTCCTTCTATTTAAATATAAATTATTGTATTATAGTATTTAACCTGTCCCAATATTACTACAATCTAAGTTTCTTTCTTAATGACAAATATCTAAACTACGAAGGGTTGATTCATAAGTCTAGATGTTTGGAAAAATACAAAAGTTCAATAAATCAACAAACAAGGCTACGGAATGTTCCGTCGAAATATTGTCACATCACTTTTATTGTCTTTTCATCTAATTATAAATATAATTTATGATAAACAAAGCATTTCCTTTAACTATGTGAGTATTTAATTAAGTAATTAATACGTCAATTTGTAACAATCACTTAAAATCCTTTTAATTTAATTTCCAAAAAATTCCAATTCATCTTTAGTATCAACTATTTAATAATTCATTTTTATTGTAAAACATTTCAATACAAACAAATCAACATTGAGTAGATAATATTGGCATGTAATTGATAATAATTGATACTATGCGCGTACAATACTCGTTGGCAAGAAATTGACAATATCTAAACATTCGTACATCTTACATAGGTATAAAAATATCTAAAGATTTCAACAGAGTCGAAATGAGATCCAAATTATATTACAGTACAATGCCCACGATGTTACCTGACATTCCATACTTATACATAAAGTAACAGTTGAGGACCAGCTCACATAGAGTATGAAAGTGAAACTACAAATAAATATATTAATATTTCAAGTACGGTATATATCGTACATACTTCGTCTAACCTCATCGACATTGTACTGAAATTAGTGAATACTATAAAACAACGCGATCTAGTGTTCATTAAGTAGAAGTAAGTAAAGAAACACTCATTATTACCTAATAAATATATTTTCTACAACGATCAACATTCAATAGGGGCCAGTGGACACCGATGCGAGCACTAAACAGTGACGTCATACTAGTGACGGGTACACCACTAAACATTTAATACACAACCGTTATGTTAGCCTGAAGTACGCGGCTTCGATGATATCGTTTAGGAGATAGAACAATACTGTCGACCAACAAAACCCACTAAAGCAACGTAACAGTTCCAAGCTTGATGTAAAGTTGTTCTCGGATATTTAGTGGTTAGGTCTTCATTATATTCGCCCATTTCTTATACCTATTATACAGTTGTAAACAATTTTCCAGTTTTATATTCTATTTAATACATTCTGTTATTATTTCTATGAAAACTTAACCACTATGTAACCACCAGTAGAAATTTAGAATTATATATATAATGTTTGTTCTTTATCAAAATATTTATTGTCGCTAATTACGATAGTCACTATTTCTGTACAAATACGTATGTATCTAATAATTTATTACCTATAACTATGGGTTGGAGTCAAACCTGCTGACTCGGAGAAGATATGCTTTGAACACGACACAATATAGTCTACCATAGAATTTATTTTCCAACAGCAATTATATTCTACAACAGTATACAATATACGCGATACATGTAAAACTACGTTCATATAAACATTAAGAGCTGAACATGCATATTCCACACATGTTCTATATAAAGCCAAATACCAATGCATTTTTATGTTTATTTATAATTCATTAACGAACTTATTTCGTTTGAGACACATCTCTATAAATTAAGCTTCGCTACTACAGAAGTGACTGGGATAGACTAAAATAAATGAATCGTGCTCGCCTCTTCAAATGAATATACAACGTAGATACGACCTCCAACAATTATATTTTCTTCCTACACATTATACTGAATGTATTCAAGTTTGTTAGAATTCTTTGTATTACGAAGTATCCAAAACATATTCAGACTAGACATATCAATATGATAGATTTGTTTCATGTACTTGATCTCTGGGTATCGTTTATGTCTGTTCCTGTATTGCCGTCCAACCCCATTAAACCATAGTAGAAATATAATATAAGTTAAAAGAAGACAAAGATTGTGCAAGAAATTCAAATAATAAGTAGTTAAGTACGCAATAAAAATGGGCGAGTATCTATAAAATAAACTTAGCGAATGTATGGAGTATTATAATGCAGAGTCCATAATGCAGAGATCACAAGTATCATAAGATGTCACAGAACACTAAAGCATGCCCCTAACATACTAAGTTATTCTAGTTTACTTAACCTAACTTACTAACTAGAAGGTACATCTAGAGTTTATGAAAAAACGAGAACAAAGTAAAAATACCATTCTCCTCCATAAACATCAGGCCATCTGGTTCATTCCCTTCCACCTCTTCATTCTGTTCTCATGTTTTCATATTCTGTACTTTAATTCAGTCACTACGTAGAAAAGAATTTTGATAAACTCATCGACATTTATATAAATATATCAAATTAAATTTCAACCTAATTCCTTTTATCGTGATACTTACGAAATTAATAATTTAAACTCTGATATAATTTTAATATTATGTAATTACATATATATTTAATGTTACACTAGAGAAAGCTCGAGTTGAGAAGAAGACTCATAAGTAGTCAACAACCATACTTCCATGTAAATGTAGAATTATATAATTAGTGCGATGTGAACGTGAACTCAGTGAGACAATTGACTGACACCACGTGACATATCTTTAGGCCGAAACACGAGTCTAGTTTGCAAATATGATATGCCTAGAATGCACAGAGTACAGCTACCTACACCGCAACGCTTTAGTATCCATGTAAATACTGATATCCCTATATATATTTAACTATTTAAATAATTTCACCGCCCCTATGTAAGCCCACATTATACGCTTGCTACTGTTCATGTTCACATCGCTAAAACATTAACTTCATTCTATACTTATATAAATACACCTAAGTTAGTTTGAGCATAGCTTTGTGCTATAACCACGTCTCCCTGGAGACCACAATACTGGATCGCAGAACATTTAGATACTATACGAAAGTTGAAAAGTTTACCCATATAAAAGGAACTAAGTATATTTTGTCCTAAGTTTAAAAAATATTTACCACACCTACAGCTACTATATCTAATAATACTATGTCTTAGAATCTATTAAAGCTATGTCTCTAATATAATTACAATTTCCGTTATTGTCAAGGTATTTAAAAATGACACCTACTTACATTTAGAAAAACATATTGAAACAGATGTATCTAAATTGTATATTAACAAAGCTTAAACTACGTCTGTTAGTAAATATATTGTCAAAAATTATTATTGTCGTTATATTATAAGGTTGGATAGTACTCCTGGGTCCTTCACCAATGTACACGCCGGGACCCTCTCGGCCGCTCGCGTCATAAACGCAAGCATTTTGCTATTTAATGTTATATATTTACTTTAGATATTGTCTGGTAATTCTTTATTTACTTGTTACGATTTCATCGTATTTACCTAAACTCAACATTTATATTTTATTGTCATTAGGAAGAACTTTAGAACGCCGTAGATTAACACCTATTTTTTTTAATAAACAATCATTGTCTATATTTTTAATCTATATTTTTTTAACCTGCATCCGTGTGAATGGGATTTATTTTTATTCTATAAAAGCACTTTCCCCTAAACTACTAACATCAAACATCAAACAAACATACACTTAAATACTACGGACCTCCTAATTTGTCACTCGGGGCTCCAACACGTTGAAAGATTGCAAAGACTCCACTACTGCTATTTGATATTGTTCATTGAAATTCTGATCCCGAATGACAAATGAGGTTTTCCTCCACTCTACACTAACACAGAATAGAAATAAAAACGAAAAACAAAGTATGTAGGTACAATATTAAAAACAATCTAAAAGTCTGCTAAAGCTTTGAGAACACTACATTACTTATAAAAGCAGCTTACATATAAAATTCACATGAATCAAAACAGATTTCATAATATTTATAATATTAGTTAGACCTACGTCACCGATGACTGACTACCCCGAGAAAAAGTATCGAGGGACGCGGCAGCGCGCCCAGTCACTGTAAAGTCAACTTCAAGTCATGGGTAAACTTTGATACAATATCGACTTGTTCGCTTCATAATAAATCATTTACTATCACAGCTTCAAATAATTTACATCACGCGATATACGAGTGATATGTGAAAATATTTAGCCATATGTCTTTGTCAAAAGCAATAAATATATAAGTCAACTCCCCAAGACTTTTCATACATATATGCTTCGGAATTTTATTGTATATATTCATTGTATATTATATATTTAGATTCTCTTGAAAAATTGACTTACCTACTATATTTTACGATTGTATAAGTTTTATTGTCATCGTTTATTAATTTATTGTCATTATTCGATAATTATTGTCATAGTCATAATTGCCTGCAATACGTGCAGGGATTTCAAGTCAAGTTCATTTTGACACCACTTAAGAATAATAAATTGTATAATATGAAGTACATAATAGTGTTAAATTCTGAATAATAACTATCTATAATAATCAACCTAATTGTAAATAAAATATACAATAGTTCAACTTTGATATAAATACAGAAAATGTTCAAAATACAAGTATACATAAGAATGTTTTCTTCTTAGGTCAAACATAGTATTGTCAAATATTTGAATTGATAATTATCCAAAGTGATGCCTCATTATAGACTGCCATTTATATGTCTTCTGACTTGGCGTTATCGTCATTGTACTGCCTCATCTGCTGGTGTATCCAGGGAATGAACTTAGGCACGTACGCGTACACTCCGGGTAGACGTGGGTGGGCACACTTGATGCCCCACGAGACGATCCCGCCGACATACCAGCGCGAGGAGTCGTCTGGGTCCTTGCACAGGAGTGGACCACCTGAGTCACCCTGAAAATAAAGAAAAGTACACGCTATATTTTCATCATTCTGATTAAGGTAAGCAAATAATATAATTAGCTGTTTAACTAATCTATTTCTGTGCTCGTTGTGATAAATTTAAAATGTTATAAAAATGACTTCAACTTTCAAACATGAACGAATACACGTACTTTTTCCGGAAATAAATGATCGCATTTGCAGGGAATCTAATAAGGAAAAAAGTGACTTGTTGTCACAAGAAATAAACGGATAACATCGGAGTGAAATTGACTTGTTTTCACAAAAATAGACTCGGCAGGTAACTGCGTACACTTCGTATTTTTACTCAATTTTATTACGCAGTGACTTTTTGTCAACGTCTTGAATGACTTGATTTGTGCCACGAGTATGTAAGGAATAAAGTGGACCTAATTTGATGAGATTGAGTTGGTGTATAGTTGTTGTTATTGTAAACCTCTATGTTTTACCATTTATGATGGTGAAGTCTTAGTTAAGGACTAAATAAATAAATAAAATTCATGTCGTAACATCGAAAAGCACATCCTATCCACTGAATCTGAGCCGATCCACTTTATTATGTAGAATAAACATGTTAGTGAACGGTCCTGTTGTCCCATAGGTCGCCACGTCAGCAAGGCTTAGGCTTTGTCCACACGTCCCGGCGGCCCTCGCCCCTCATCCATTGTCACCCGCCCAAAACTGCTGACTCGTTTCAATTTCATTTTGATCTCGCCTTAATGTGTTAAATAATGGACTGGCCGATCCACACTTTGGTTACATACAACGAATGTTATCTTGTTGATAATATTTTCAATATACATCGTAATTTTGATAGATGTTATCTTGTTTTTAAAAACAGTATTGCAAGCAACAACGCGAGTCTAAAAAGGAAATAAGTTGAGTATTTCTTCACAGTTTTATAAGGGTTTATTTTCTCCTACAGCAGTTAACTATTAGCGAGCATTTCTTATAAACTTTTATTTTATTTTGCTGTTGCCTGGAGTCCTATCAGATTGTTAGAGGAAATAAACCTGTTAAGATATAAATAAATTGTCAAAGACTGTGTAAATAAACTGATAATGAAATCTGATGTATTCTGAACATTCATTTTATTAATGTCAATGTAAACAAAATATCGTTCGATGTACTCTTCCTATGAGACACGATGTAGGTCAGTCCTTTGTCACCTCCGCCAAAGTTCGTAAACTATTATGAATACTTAAATAAAATATTCACAAAGAAAACTACCGGAATTTCTCATAAGCCGCGGAGGTTTAACATCGGGGAACAACATTATAAAAGTACATAAAATCTCGACCGGGATATTAGCACGCTTCACTGAACCATTAAAGTGTAGCCGTTCATAAAGGAACTCCAATGAATTCGGGCGGACGAGTGGAGTAAATACGAGCCTCCTTATTGGTCGGTTGTTAGCGAAGAGATGTTTATTGTCGTCAGCTCCCAACCTACTCACTTATTGGATTTACCTATTCGCTGAACAAATATTTGTTTGGGAGCCGTATTAGAATTTTTTTAGTTTTATTACTTCACGATGTTTTCTTGAGGACTTTATTAGTGTGTCAAGAGCTTTTCGTTAACTTTCAAGACAAATTGCTCGAGCAGAAAAATGTTAAGTTATTTTTCTTTCAGTTTATTTTTTCTTTAGTAATAAGACATTCTGTCCTTTAACTGTCTTACAAGTCTTTCACGAGTTATACGCGTGTATTCTAAGACAAATAACTTCCCTAGGAGTAATTAAACTATATACAGTTTACAAAAAAGCCCCACTGTATTTATTATAATTACATTATACAAGTACAAAATTCCTTTATCCGTTTAAAATACCAATCAACAGTATTTAGCTATTATATAATTTATTGCATCATGAAAATGTGTTCACAACCGGTTGTTTACCACTTGCCTCGTAAACTTGTTATTGAGAAACAGACATAACGCTATTCAATTAATCTTTAACATCACCATCAATAAGACATCAAGAGCTAACTTTTACTAGAATTATAATTCGCGTTAACTCAATATTTAGGAACAATGGGTACCAGCTAATGGTACGTAATCTGTGAATTATTTGTGGAACATGCGATGCCCAAATTGTAACTCACCTGACAAGCATCCTTGCCTCCCTCGGGGTATCCAGCACAAATCATGCCCTCGGTAACGTTCAGGTCGCGGTGCTCCAGCCACTGGTTGCAAAGGTCTCGGTTGAGGACGGGCACCTCCACTTCATTTACTGCCGGCTCATATTCGGACACTACAACCAAAAAATCTTTTACAACATTCTGAACAAACTATGACAGTGTAATTTTCATGCTCGTTTATCGCTATAGGATGGATTCTATGGTTCTGTTGAACTATGAGTCATGGTGAAAGCATTTATTTCAACTTAACCAAGTCTCTTGGTTCTTCAATGAAGTTTAATTCGGTTTATTGTATCTACAATTGATGATTCACAGTTCACACCAACATTTAGTATATCTAACAGATTTATGTGTCTTATTATTGTAGCTACGAAGTCATTCAAACTTACGTTCTTTATCGTCGCGTTTCCCCCAGCCTATGACAGTACAGAGTGTGCCTGGTTTGAGCACGCGGCTGGCTGGTGGCAGGCACACAGGGGACACCTGCTCGTGGTACCGGACCCGTACTGATAGCTGGGTGAGGGAATACAGTTGTTATATGAAGAACATCTTGAGTTTCAGCTTAATTTTGCAAGAAGATTTACTGTTTAATGTTTTTTGATACTGGGTTTTTTGGAGTGACGATATTTTAATAAGATTCAAGGGTCGGTTTGAAATAAAATTGATATGGTTGCGCCAAGTTTTTTGATAGTAAACTCGACGTTTTTTCTAAGAATGAAGATGTAATATTGTTGTTAACTTATAATTAAACATACTTGGAACAGAGCGATGTCGTTGTCATGCGCGATGCCGGAGTTGTACTGCGGGTGCGGGGCGACGCGTTTCACCTTCACCTTCTGCCCGTAGTAGGCGTGCGAGCGACGCCGTGTAATGCCTAGTTGTATCGTCCAGCCGTTCACGTCCGTGTGGCTATATACAGAAATAGTACCATGTTGGATGCCAGTTCAAAAGTATACTTGATTTTTCTATTATTTTTTTAAATTGTTTCCAAATCGTATCATTCGCTGTTATCTATACTGCTCTCTCTAACACAATAACACATCCTTTTATAAATCTCTAAACTTTCTCAAATACTCACTTTCCAACACAATGCGCGGCCGTCAGTACCCACTGGTCAGCAATGAGCACACCAGCACAGTAGAACACTTCCTCAGGTCCTCCGAGGATCGCAGCCAGGAACGGCCAGTCTCCTGGAGACGCCTCCACGCCACCCACGATACGCTTCGACCCTCCGCCCATTGTACGACGCTTGCCGCATTCTAATGAAGAAATATTAACATCAGTTTCGAAAGTAATATTAATAAAAAGTGTATTTGCAGGATCAGTTTCTAGAATTTTATTTGTTTATCTTTTATGAACACAATTTATTTATACAACAATTTATAATTAATTATAAATAATTTATCATGCCGACTGCCTCGTTGGCCGAGTAGTGACAAGTACGATTCGAACCCGAGATTACTGGATTTTTTTTATAAAATTTTCATTAGTAGCACGGAGTCTGGAATTATGTCCAGTTATTAAAATTACGTTTGAAAGGTCAGAAATATAAAAGAGCAACATTCTTTAAAACAAATAAAGCTGGAGTGAAACATCAAAATGTTCTGTCCGCCATTATATCTTTGCGCATATTTTTCCAAGCCGACAGTTCTGAACACAAAGTACGCAAGTAAATATTAATTCTGTTGTAAATTCTGCTTATTCGCACAAACGCTGGAAAAGCAAAAATTAAACTTGTAAAGCTGAACTTCTCTATTCAGCCCACTTGACGTCCGGCTTTCTAAATTGAAATTTAAGTAAACCCTTTTCGCGACGCTGATAAACATTTTTTCCACAATCCAAGATACAAGATTCAGCGGATTACTTTATAACACAGTCAAGGTATTGAATGTGACAATGACTTACGTTTAAACAAGGGTGTTACTTTACTTTTTCTTAAATCATAATGTATTAAACTATAACTTGGGATGTTTGTAAGAATGTATAATACAAATATTATATTACATTATATACAGAGTGATTGTGTATACACAGTAATTGTGTTCATTATAATGAACAATGTCTTTCAATGTCCTTCTATTCTTTCAATATGTCATTGGAAGTTTTTCTTCTAGAATATTAGTTTATTCCAATAATCGAAATACTTGTAACATTGCGTCGCGTCACCCGCTGTAAGTTCACAGCTCGCACCGAGGGCAGCGCACCTGGCGTGTCCTCACAAAAACATAATTAAAGTTTTGGCAATCGTGTCTCGCCCACAATTATGAACACAGATTACCAACAGTTTGTTCTTGTTTCTAGCCTTTTGTAATTAATGATTTTTTTCTGACTTTCCATTACCGTGACATGCTTTTTTGTTTAAAATATACTGTTTTAATTAAATTTTATGTTATAGTTATTGTATAAAGAATTGGCTGTAGGATATATTTTATTTTAGAGTAACAAAAGCATCAGTAAGTTACCATTACATTTACTTCCAAAAATAAACATAAGACGACGTCGTTACTACGACTCATGTTTATTAGTTTAGTTAATACTAAACTCAACAAAAAAAATATAGACGAAGGCTTTCGTGCCACCCACAGCAAGATAAGAATAGATGCCCTGAGTCGGCTACTTTTAATTTATTTAAATTTAGGAAAAACCTAAGTCTGTCTCCAAATTAATCCTGTAAGCTAGAAATGGCGAAGTTTCATTTTACGAAAATAGAAGGCTTACTCGCTGAATACATATAAGACCCGGATTATTGGCAACAGCAGGAAAGTCTAAACAAACAATGAACGACGGTTTACGTAACAAACCGCTTAGAGGTTTCATTTTTCTCGTTCGATCGCGATATTGCAACAGATAAACTAGTTCTTATTGTACTCAATAAAATACTATCGACTTCCATTACTTATTGTGCAACACTGAATTACCGATGTTTTGCTACGCTGGATTCTTCCGGCAGTTTTATTATTTCATTCGTATTCTAGAAGTCTAAATTAATTACTCTCATTGTTGATCACTGCAAGCTCACTTGTATTTTGATTCAAATTAACTCAGTTAATTGGAAACGTATGACCGTAGCATCTACTACAAGCGAGCTGCTACGCTTTCGTAGTACCGCCTACGCCGTAGTACTATAGCTACGCATTATTACGATTTTAGTACGCTTTCGTAGCAACTACCCTACACCTTTTTTCAAATGTCTACTACGTGTACAGGCTATTTATATACTTCGTTCTTTTAAATTTCTTTGTAATCACACACGAGCTCCTTTACAATAACAATTTTATAATTTCACTGTAAACTAACAACAAACAGGTACTTCTTGTGCCTGCCTCCATAACATAATTACATAAGCTCCAGTACTACAAGTAAATGACAAGAGCATTTTCGCAGTAATTCCCAAAAGTTATCGGCCACCTGCTAACCTCGGCGTCGTTCATTAGATGAGACAGCTGACAACAAATGATTACTGACACAATTCGTTTACCTGCCGACTATGAATAACTGACATAGCTCGTTACTTAGCTGTTTTATCAAAAAATAACAATTTATTTTACTCTAACGCTTCCAAAGAAATTCGTCGAACAATAATTGGATTAGGAGTTTAGTTTTGAAAATAATGGAATCAGTTTTACTACGCGCGTTGATTAATTCTTTTGTTTCGCAATACAAAAAAACCAAATGAAATCTGTGTTCATAAAAGCCGGCTTCGCTTCGATCACACTCATAAAGAGTTACCAGCGAGCATATCACACACACAACTGGTAACTTCCCTGTTCAGAAATGTATAGAACAACGTTTTTTATTTCGTCCTCGTAAAAATACAAGTGCTGTATGAGCGATGAGACGATAGAATTAAATTGGCGAAACTTATGGCCAGTCGTTACAGGTAATGAGACCACTGTGCAGAAAACCACAAAGAAAATTCGACCTTACTGCTTCACATTTAAATTTCAATTTTGTTTAATGCTTAATAATATTTATGGGTACTGAAAAGCTCTGATGTGCGGCTTTTTAGTGTTTCATCAGTTTAGAATTAAATTAAATTGTCAGCGCTAAAAATGGGATAACATGAATTAATGAAGAGTTCGCGATTACCTTGCGAGGAAAAAACGTAATTGAAGGCCGTTAAATAACGTAGGTACTTTTTATAAAAAAAACTGTTTTATACATCTTATTGTTAAACGACATATTTAGATCTATTTAAGTTTAGATGTGAACCTTAGCTGTGTTTATATATAGGCACTTACTATTTAACGGGCTTCTCAACACTAATGGGATAAACCTAAAGTTAATTGTTGATATTATATAAATTCAATCTACGCCTCAACAAATTAATACTACTAAACTATACAGTTATCGAATCATCAGAAAACTTTTTTAACGTAATTACATTTCAAACCGCTGCTCATAATATTAGTTTTAACTTGTTTAAGTTGCAAACTAATTAAGTTTATAAAAAGTTGTCAAGGCATTCGATTATCCAGCTGATTCCAGCTCCTATTAATTTTCTGTTAAGTATAACTGTTACCGGTTGCTATAGCAACCGAGTTATTTATCTAACAAATGAAGAGGATTGACCTATAAACATTTTCTTGGGTTGAAAGAGAAGTTGTATATAGTACATAAATAACTAGACCTAGGTCAAGTGGCCCAGTAGTGCAGTATTGCCCTCGATATTTCTACATTTTATACTTAGCAATTTCTTTGATGTTGAGGTTGACTACAGGTGCACTAAGGCCGCTTGTTGATAGCTTTATTTTCTTGTACCTATTTTTATAGGTCTTCTATTTTATACTTGAATACTTGAATTTTTATTTCTTTTCAAGTAATGAATGCCAATTAAATGGGTTAAGGAGTTTTCTATTTCACTGATGTTTATTTTATTTCTTACTCATTATGCATCACCATCAAAAAGTTTATCGAAACATATCTATTATCTGAGAACAGTACTCAATACGATGACTTCTGAAAGACTCTAGTTGTAAGTGCTGGCAGTCGTGTGGTGGCAGGACTGTCAGGCAAGCGGTCAAACCTTCAAGTAACATTGTGGCAAAGCTCGGTCGATGGCCTGCCGCGCCGTTGCGTAAGTACTCGTACTACGTGCGATCGATAATTCTTTTACACTATTTTTTACCAAGATCATTGTCAAATGTTTCACATAAACAAATATTAAGTTACACATCTCTTTGAAAAGACCATGTACTCTGCTCGCTTATATATGAAATGAATTGATTTTCATCATATCTTTATATTATCTAAATAATCTCGAATATTATTTCTTCCGTAGGTACATATTCATAAAAACCTTGTAAAAAGATCAGTAATACATACATGTGCCAGATTTTGTTTATTCATTTCCAAATTGCCGTTGCTACATCTCTTCAAAGTATTAAGAGTACGCCTACACGTCTGTCCTTCAGACATACTGAATAAACCAATAGGGATGATTATATTTCTTATTTTTTCATAAAGTCGTCTTACAGGGACTTCAAAGTCCTTTTTGTGGGACGACTTCTGGTTTTTTGATAATAAATAAATCTCTTTTACGTTAGAAGATTAGAAAGACGTAGAAGGTCATCATGCTTTGATTTAAAAAAGACTTAAAATATAATTAGATTGCGTTTAGTCCTAAATTGTTAACCACACTGAATTACCGCTCCCGGCTTAATAACATCTAAATAAACGTAACAACATGCTGAAATGATATTAAACATAACCAAATACAGTGTAAGGCATGATGGCGGACTCAATTAAAACTGGTTTTAAGTTCATAAAACTTGTTAAATACTAAGTAAATTGAATAGAGGACCCAAATGAAATAGTTCCACTTTCACTAATTTATTCAGTAATATTAGGACTCGTAAAGTTAACAGTTTTATTTCGTATTGAGTGTTCTGAACATTATTATGAAACACTAATGGATCCTCGATGAGGACTGGACTGTTTGTTCGAGGAGATAGTGTTACTAAATAAGTAAATACTAAATAATAATTGGTGAATATTTGTATTAAAATTATTACTCTTAAGAATTTACTTGAGTAACTTGTACCAGACACGGCAACGAAGTTAGCATTAATTATTATTCTTCACTTTCATTACAATATGTCTAAGATTGCCGAGACAGTACTTAGGCGTTTGATTACTGTGTTACTTCTATTAAAAATCAATTGAAACTCCTCTTCATGTCGCCCAGGAATATACTCTTCTAGGAACAAATGTATTTTGCGGTAATAAAATCTAGATCCGGGCTAAACTGTTGAAACAGTTATCTCGCGGTTCACCAACTTATTTTGTGAAAATTGTGAACGTTACATCACAATATACATAATTACGTTACTCGTGAGTTTGAACTTAAACTTCTCTGTTAATCGTATTGGAAGTTACAACTATTTTGGTCAGATTATTTGAGATCAACTATTTTATTTAGTCTTTGTATACAGGTATTACATTATGTGTGCCAGGCCAATGTATACATAAACAAGTTCCAGGCCTCATGGCCTTATGATTATTAATAGGTAGCTCTCGGAATCTCAGATCGATTGACGGTGCAACACTGCCCCCTAACACGTATAATGGTGTGACTGTCCCGTTCAGTCGAGATGGGCTTGTTTATTGATAGCACATTAAGCTGCACATAGGATGCAACTAAAGTGGCCATTCACTGTTATTTTTCTAAAGAAGAAATAAATATGTGCCTACATTTATAAATTGACTTCTTCGTCTCGCCACTCAGGTATATATTTTCCGCCGGTGTTACTGTAGGACCCTAAATTTCTTCACTCCGACCCACTAACACCGAATTGTTCACTTATTTATAGATCACGACACAAGTCAACTTGGTATAAACAAGCAAGATTCAGCAACAGGAAAGTGAGTCCCGGGAAAGAGATAAGAATCTCATCAAGTTTATCAATAAGTCGAGTGGGCTTAGCGCTCCGTAATTCGTTTTACATAATTGCGAACAAAACGTTTAATAAATTTTTACACTCCTCCTGCTATGACAGATTTTATAATTAAAAGCCATTTGTCTTGGCAAATTACATTTCATTTTGTTATGTCGAGTAGACGACCGTCGACCTTCGTTGGGTTTCTCATTGGAATCTTCATTGTTACTCTTTGTACGACTTCATATATTTGCCTATATTCATAGAAAATTTGTCTTGAATATTGTTGAGCTTATCTATCAATATAATATACCTAGATACACACACACTACGTGTTATATAAACTCTATTGCGTAGTAACACAATCTGCAATATAATAAACCCAGCATTGTTTGCTCCTACCGTTAGCTTACATTCTTATATCAGCAAATCTATAATTATTACAGCATCGGTAGTCATTATTTCATCCGATTATTATCATCCGTCTGTATTAATAATGAGTAAATGAATAGGTATGTAAAATGTCGTGGTGGCCCGGAGGTTTAAGACGCCCACTTCTCATGCATGAGGGTGCGGGTTCGAAACCTACCAACGGCAAGTACCAATGTGACTTTTTCCGAGTTATATGTACTTTCTAAGATTATTTAGACACCACTGACAAACGGTGAAGGAAAAACATCGTGAGGAAACCTGAACTTATAATTTCTAATTATAAGTTTGAAATCGCCAACCCGCATTGAGCAAGCGTGGTGATTAATGCTCTAACCTTCTCCGTGTGAGAAGAGGCTTTGCTCAGCAGTGGGCATTTATAGGCTGTTGATGATGATGATGATGATGATGAATAGGTTTGCCCGCGAGTTTCGCGCGTCGCCAGGAAACATCGGGTGCGAGGCGACACTTATCAACCAAGTAATGGTGGCCCGTGTTACAATATTTCGATTGAAATATAAAAGCTATTTATGAGAATGTAGCGTAATAACTGCGGTTTATTGAGGAATTGTAATACATTAGCGAATACGCGACAATCGATTTGAGGGAATCATTTGCTCCTTATTTTGCTTTTTGTGGGAGAATTCGAAGCGTTTATTTTGATTGCGCAAGTTCGAAATTTTTGAAATGAAACAACATGACATTTAGTACGCGTTTTAAAACAACTTGCATAACTTGAAAAAATAATTATACGCACTTAACTAGTGTAGTTATTATATGTAGTTAGTTTGTACTTATATAAGAACAAATGCACATCCTACTAGTCCTACTAATATTATGAATGTGAAAGTTTGTGAGGATGTACGTATGTGTGTTTGTTTGTTATTGTTTCATGTCAAAACGGCTGAAGGGATCAGGATGAAATTTGAAACAGGGGTAGATTATGGTCTATAATAATACATAGGCTTTTTATCCCACGGTAACGCGGGCGAAGCCGCTGGCAGATGCTAGTAATCCATAATGATTAGTTTTGAAAAACATTTTCTATTGTTCTTCGTTAGCAACTCGAATAGATATAGCTATAGACCCGATTTTATTCACTTTGCATTCTAAAGGTAACCAGTAAACAGACCCGCATAACACAGCACACATTCTAACGATTTAAAAGCCTAACGCACCTCTGAGTACTCACAGTTGACAAAGCTCTTATAAAACAAAAGTTGATTCACCCTTCTGAACTGACAAGATTGGATCCACTCCCGGCCTACGGGAGTACCTACACTCAACGTATGTCAAACGCCTCGCCACTTACGTTGAAATAACAGAGAAAGAAAATAAAATGGAACACTGATTTACAGTTAGGAGCTACATACAGAATAGAAGAAAATCTTGTCCACATTTTGGAGAGAATCCTTTTTAACTTATCTAAGAATGTTATGACCTCTTATGTAAGAATGTTCATTGGCTGAATTTAAAATAGTTTGAAAGTTTTTAGATCGAAAAATGCTCGTAGAAAGCCCAAATTGCCAATACAAAGAAAACATCGATATCTATTCTACAATTGAATACGATTTTCTTCTGAATCTAATTCGTATCTTCATAAAGTTAAACCGTCACAGGTGCAGGTTTGCCATAGTCATAATTCTGTGCGAAGTTTAACAGGATCACATGCAACACTGACTGCTCTGGGACGTTCCGCTATTAGCCAAATTGCCAGCTATCATCGTATCTACTCGCCACGAATCGATGCCTTTTACGAGATTATTTATTAGCAATTTTGATGAGGCAATTTGATGGTGTTATTTTCACAGATGGTATTTCTTAACAGTCTATCGGGATAAAAACTATACAATTCAATCATTTACGGAACCGATTCAATCATTTTACATTTGTGGCACTTCTACAAGGTAATGTTTCCAAAAGCTCTGGATGAGTTCGGCTTTTCCTAATTGACTACTCTCATAAAAAAAAGTCAATGGTCTCTCTTGAAACGACTAAAGTGTAATTAAAAATACAATCTTATAAATAGTTAATATAAATATATAAATAGTACCGTAGAGAAAAGAAAGCAACCTTGGACGATGTAACCGAATTTAATAAGTTTACAATTGATAACCATCAGAACAAAAGCTTGGCCGAGAAGGTTTCTTTATTTATCAATATTATGTTACTCACCATACTTGTCGCAAACAAGATGCACTCTCGGTGAGTCTTGCCTGCATTCTTTGAGTTCTTTCAGCAGGCCTCCCTGACTCCTGAGGAAGGCGCGGTATGTCTGTGCAGCGCCGTGCTCATGCACGAAGCTGGCGCGAGGGCCTGGTGTGGCGCTAACGTTCACTGCCGCCTTTATACTGTTAACTTCTGGACGGGACTCGTTGATTACTGCTTGGCTTTTGTTTAAAAACCTGTATTAGGATAAAGCTGTTAATAAGAACTGTAGAAAACATTGGCTCAATGGAACTTTGGCGACTTTCAAATCTAACTTCTTCTCGGTGTAATGGCCACACGATCAACTAGGTTTTCAGATCGTTATTGACTACCTGCATACGACATAGCGGTACATTTTCTATTATAAATTTTTTTAGCATTCTTTAGACGGAATACCTTCATAAGTACAACGAACTGCTATTAACATCGAGTACCGTATTTATAGACACAATTAAAGAACAATAGGTTGCGGTCACCGGTGACCGCTTGGTGTTTGACAGTTTAAGCAATTGCAGATTATGAATACATTACAGTTTACTGTAAACCACAAACATTGCATCTGTATGCAGCGTAAACTAATTAAATAAATTCCGCTGCTAAAGTCCGAGCTCCAGCTCGCGAGATAAGTGTTTTTAATTTATCCAATTGCAGCGATTACCAATGGGATGTGAACATTCAATGTTGTATGCTAAATTCTTTAGGTCTGTGAGTAAAACTGATTTTCTAAAGGGTTCTTCAACCTTTTATGCAGAGTTTGTTTATATTTAATCTGTATTTTATGATTTTTTTTTAATTGAGTATTGATTTATAATCACATTGCATCTTACGACACAGGAGACATAAAGGAATAAAAGAACTAGAAATCACAAAATGAAATAGTTGACTATCATGCAGAAATTCCTACCTACACTATGTTCTACAAATATCTAATGAGACTGCCTCACGACTTCACGAGTTACACGAGAACTTACGAGTATCCGAGAATGGAGCACAACTTGAGAGCGGTGTCATCGTCCAGCGTAGTGATGCAGGCAGGGAACCACGAGTGGTTGGCTGCGCGGTACACCTGCAGCTCTCCACGGCCCACGTCACCGTTCGCTTGACTCAGTCGTACTGTCAGAGAGAACACGTACACTTACTGAGCAACTGTGTTTTAGTTTGAGATGATCCTATAAAGTGGCTACTTGTGTACTGTGTATTGTGACTTCTTTATTTGTATAACATATTAAGTATAGTCTGCTTAGAAATGTGTGACTTAGCAGTTAGTACAACATAACTTTGGCACTGAACCAAGTAAATGTTTGTCGAAAGAAAACAGTTCCTACATTCAGCCAACACTGTAAATCAAGGAGTTTGAAATAAACAAAGTACTTACAGCAGTTCCGCTCATCCTGTCCCCAAGGACAGTCGACCTTGCCGTCACAGAGGTGTGCCTGTGAGATGCAGCGCTGGTTCCCGCAGTGCACCTCCCCGCTGCGCTTGCAGACGCGACAGTTGAGCTCGTCCGAGCGGTCCGCGCAGTCAACGTGCCCGTCACACCGCCAGTCGTGCGGGATACAACGTCGCACGTCGCATTGGAACCCCGTGGGACATACTGCTGACAAATATCACTCATACTATTGTCGAAATTTTGCCGAAACAATCACGAAAATCATAGAACAATGAGAGTACATTGATCCCAAAGACAAAGAGAGGCGAAAATGTCTCCGTAAAATAAACGAAAGCATTTCTACATACAAGATTTAAGCGTCATTAATGAACCTTAGGTTAGGTATACTTAAATCCTATTATTTGATTCTCGGAATTCCGAGAGATGATTCCAAGCAGGTGTAATACTCGGAAAATAATTGGATGTGACATTTGACATCGGAGTCTTGTGCCATATTATTAATCTGTAATGAGATACGGTTCTCACGTGGGCGCAATATGTTCGGGGTGTTCGTGGTAATGATAATTAGATCGCAACGAAAACGGCTTATTTGTAAAAGGTCGTGATATCATACAAGAGGTTATTACTCTAATGTCATATTTTATGTGTGGATTTTTTAAAGAAATTACATACCTACGCGAAGCTTAGCGTATAAGATAATTTATCAAGAAGTTCTTCTTGATAAATTATCTTATATAATTATCTATAACTTGTGTCAAAATAATTAAAATGAGAATTATTGAGTTACCTGGCATGGCGTCTCTGAAGCGAGCATCGCTAACTTCTCTGTTCCCGAGACAGACGTCGGTATCAGTGGACTCGGGGAATATGTCGCACTGGAGATAGTCCGGCATCGTCAGCCCAAATACTTCCAGGAAGAAGCCGCAACGCCGCATCGTTTCTAAGTCAACACATTACATCGTATATTGATATTCCAAGAATAGTACCTATACTCATGACTATCCAAATTGAATTGTTATCATGTTACGACATGTAAATGTATAGGTACATATATGTATGCTAGTTAAAGTAGGTACTACAATCTATAATTTTTTATCAAACTGTTTAACTTTATGTTTCAGTAAGGTCGAAAATCTGTTCCCCCATTATTTGACAGTCTAAGTTAACGTTGTATAATTCTGTAATTCATGTATCACGTTCATCTAACTCTGATTATATTCTATTTATTAAATAATATCTCACCATGACACAAACTCCTGCAGGGTCGAACCATGTGTCCCAAGGGTCCACACTTGGGCACAAACAGTGAACATAAGAACAGTGCTGTCAGGTCGTAACACCGGACGTCCACTACTGCTTCGTATACTTCCAGGTCCTGGTAAAGAAATAGCTTATAAGTACTTAATGACAAGCAACCTAACTGAATCTCAGATAAAGATTTAGGTACCAGAATTTTTATTAAGTTTGGTACGACATTTTTGCAACTATCGTGAGACATACTAAATTAACTAAAAATTGCGGGTTACTCACGTGAATATACTGAGAAAAGCTCTACTAGTTTCGAACCACAGAGAGCTTCTTCCTCATGAGCGGCGTGCGCGGTCGCGGCGATATCTCGCAGCCCACTGACAGTAGTGGTTCGAAACTAGTAGAACTTTTCTCAGTATATTCACGTGAGTAACCTGTAATTTGTAGAACATTTTTCAAAAATTCTTGAATCTTTCAATTTTATGTTTGTGGACCAGGCCTCATCACATCACTGACACTGTTGCCTACAATTTCTAATTTCAATTCTATTTTCATAAAACACGTAGGAATCTATAATCGTCCAGATTTAAACATGAAAGCGTAGCAAAAACTATTCACATCTTACATGTTTCTTTTAGAAATATAATAAAGAGAAAATATTTTATCCTAAGTTTAGCGTTCGCAATAGAAAGCAGGTATTTTCTTAAAACAGTATTGTGTTGTAACAGTGAGGCAACAATAGGTAACATACAAGGGAGGGAGCTTATAATAATCTGTTTGCAAGCATTTGTGCGCAGTACCGAGTCTGAGTATTGTGAGATAAGATACGACGCCTACGGACATCGAGCCGCGGTTGTCTACATGTCTTCTTAAAGACTAATCTTTAAATATTTTGACGTGAAAATTGAATATATCAAACAGATAAACATGTTTAATACATGGGTATTAAACATGTTTATCTGTTGTTGGAAAAACAAGTAGGTAATAAAATCTTTATTACAATCCTGATATACCTGATATATGATATAGGAACCTACAATTAAAATGTTAAATTACAAAATATTGAAAACAAAATAATGTCCAGCGCCTTTTTCTGCGGCTCAGGGATTTATTTCGTTGTTTTAATGTATGGGTCTAATTAATACCTAGTTAAAAGGTTTCTTAACTTCGACCAACTATGTCAAGCCAGAAAGTCACTGTCTATTAGAACCTGTCCAAATAGTAACTACCTAAGTACTTACATAACTAGTAGGTAACCTTTATTTTAAATTCCTCAACTTTACACAACCTATCAATTTTACTCAGCGTCAACTTTTCCAGATTAGATAAAACCTATTTACCCTGTACTAAGCGAACAATACCGTGGAGGCCAAGGTCGACGCAAAGCAATGTTTTAATAAACATTGCTCGTTAAAAATGGTCTTTAGAGTGTAACGCTGATATTTTACTTGTCGGGCGCGCATTGTTTCCGCGACAATGATTGATTCGCGCGCGAAAGGGTTCTGGTAATGGTTATTGATGTCGCCGCGTCATTTGCTGTTGTGGTCGCGGCGGGCGACAGGCGACACAGCGCGCTCCGGCCAACACACCATCCCTGATAATGTTCGCGTATCATTGTTTGCGGTAATGTAAAACCGATAAATATGATTTTTCTGGAAAATTCTCTAAAATGTATTCCACATTTTGCTCATCCATTTGTGTAGTCGCACTTAGAAATGTGCAAGAATGTTAACAGTGGCCGCAATCTTATGGGAATAAATGGTATACTTTACCATGGTGCTTCTAAAACCGTACGTTTTCTAAAAAACCTTTGTCTGTGGGTACAGAATATACCACCCGTGCGTTCTGCAAAAAATATTCCAATATTCGTATGAAATAATTACTTCACAGCCACGGAAAGCGTGCCCTGACACTTGGAGGAGAGATTAGTGCGGGCGGCGACCGACGAGCACACAAATTAATTGGCCTATAAGCTCTTTGATCTGCGCCTAGTAGGTTTTCGATCAATTAATTTTCGCTAAGAGGATTTAGAAGAAACTTCACTGCATAGACTTAGATACCGATTCGTGGGAGTAACAGTGAGAGACAACAAATATTGAACTGACACAATGCCGCGTCTGTTTGTATAAAAAGATGTATCTATCGCGGGATGGAAAAATAATGTTGTGTAGATCCACTCCATCATTTTTCTTGTTTGAAAAGTAATACTCCCACTGAAAGATTGCGGTTGCGTTACTTCTCTGATGATTTAAAATAAATATGAATATAGAAAAGGCAAACAAATGTGGCTACGTAAACAAAAAAATTGTATTAAAATTTGTTGATCAAGCTCAATTTTAAATTCCGCCGCAACACTTTAAAACATTACAGGTCGGCTAATTAACGAGCCGTCGGGACCTGCCAAGTGTCTGTTTAAGCCTGTTAATGGCATTTTAACGATTCACCTTGGATTCGGGCAATTAAACTTATTTCCCAGCAATGGGCTGGAAACGTCTTTAGACCTCAGACTCAGACCTCCTCGGAAACCTCGTGATTCAGCATTGTTCATTTCCCGGAAGTACGTTTGACAAATTAAATCTAGAGTTTGTTGATTACATTACTTTGACAACCTTTCCAAATTATAGTACCTAGTAAAAATAAGAACATGTTAACCTACAACAGAAAAACGAATGATAAAGAAGTAGCAAGTTTATTTAATGCCGAAAAAACTGACAAAGAGCAGATAGTTAATTACTATTTGTTTATTCATATTTAAAAATAGAAGTTTGCAAGGAAATATAATCAACTATTGTTTGTAATGATAACAAACTCTTCTACAGTCAGGCAGACCAGTTAGCAACTCCGCTAGGGCGGTGAAAATATAAGGTTACATTAATCACTGAGCAATCAGCAACAAACACTATTATTATTCATTACATCCACCCTGAAATCTTAATGTACACATCGAATATTAAATACCTACTCATTTTGTCTTCGAACAAATTAACAATTAAGTAAGAAATAAACAAACTAACAAAATCAGAGAGACCTTGTCTCCAACGAAATTAATTAAAAACAGTAGCTACCTAGTATATTTACAAACCGAGAATCACTTATCACTTAGTAAACTCAATTTCCCGGCTCTGTTTGTTCGTACGGCAATTAAACTAATATGACTAGCAAACGAAACTCATCCAATTTGAAACTTGATGTATCGAAGCGTTTGACTTGTCTATTGACTTAAAAACAAGTTCGAGGATCGTGTAAGTATACATTAATTGTAATGAGCTCCTAAACTAAAATACCAAGCCCATCTTGGGATACCGACTAACCTTTTCTTGGCTATACGACTAATATACTATGTTCAGTGAAGAATTCAAAAATTAGTTTAATTTTTTAACGTCATATTTCAAGCAGTGTGTGTTGTTGTTGGATGATGTGTGATTACTGACCTGTTGGGCATCTCTTTGCCCAAAATGTCCGATGTAGTTTGGGAACACGGTGAAGTTGTACGGTATCCTGTGTTGCTGGCAAAAGTTTACTATGACGGGCAAACACACTCCTGGTGCTGGGTTTCTGGCACCCGGCGGGTCGGTGGGTGCTGGCCAGGTCACCACTGTTGACCTATTCACTACTTGTGACACGTACTGTGGACAAACAAATAATTTATGCTGAAATATAACAACGAAACAGTTTGGTGACAGTTGCTTTTGGTAACAGTTAATTATTTATTGCAAGTAATCTTCTCCTTTCTACTTATTGATTAACTTAATTAACCGTACAAATATGTAGTGGAGTAGAAATGATTTTCTTAAAGTACTGCGTCGGCTACTAAGAAAATGTTTTACAACATTTTTGTAGCCAAAAACAATATGTATCCACAACAACGCGTTGTTCACAATGTGGGCATTGTTGTAACTCTCACAAAACAGACAAAGACGCCAGGTAAGACGGAATTGTTGGCCAAAGCCTGAAGCCCGACTTTGAGCAACGAGCACAATAATTGTTTTGTTAGCAAAGCTTTGCCTTTCCAACGTTTTTGTGGGCACGGAGGCCTCAGCTCTATGCAAGTGCTCCAGTAATTGAGTTTCTTCGTTTTGTTGGTTTTTACACAGTGAGAAATATCTTACTGTGTTTACTTAGTATTGAGCACTTTAAAAGGGTAAGTAAGAAAAATATGGCGCTCTTTTCAATTTGAGCAAAATGAAGCCAGAGTAAAGAAAAGCGAGTTTCGTTTCGTCGCAGTGTTTCCCTAATTTCCATGAATTGTTGTGATCGTAATGCTACACAAAGCTGGTTCTGAAAGGAACTGTTTTGTTAATTCACGGTCATTGTTGGTGCTCGTATTCAGAGCAAGGAAACCTGAACAACATTATTAAAATAGTTGCTGATTAATTCTCAGCTGTAGGTAACATAAGTTTTTATACTTAATCAAGTTCAGGGCATTGAAATAAATTATAAGATTGTAATGATTCACTTTTCTTCTCTCTCTCTCTCTCTCTCTCTCTAATTCACTCTTCGCAGTCTCTCTTCATCTCTCTTTAGTCTTTCTTTTTGCGAGGTCAAGTGTTATTGGAACATTGAACTTACTTGTACAGCAGGGTTAGCCCTGAAGTAGGCGAACAGTGCGCCGGTGATGGCGAGCAGCGCAACGGCGTTGAGCGCCAGCTGCATCAGTCTGAACTTGTGAGGGTTGGCGTCCGTGCTCGCCCCTCGCATGTCTCGGAGCATCTGTTTCATAAAGTTCCGTTAATGTAAGCAAAATTACCTGTTAATCTATTATTAATATGATTTTTGTATATGATATTTGTGTACACCTCCGAAACTAGTAACATTCAAAATTTATTCAAAATAATATCTTATATTATCCACGTAATCAAGATGTAACTGATTGGCAGATTTATTAGTATAGTATAGTAGATAAATAAAACAATAATAATCAGAACAAACGCTGCTCTACTGTTTAGTTTACTCGGACCTAGCCCAACATTGCATACTCATTTAGGTCGTGATAGAGCTTGAAACAACGCGATTGTTTCCTCGTGGACTAACAGCATTGGTTCGTGACTTGTTAGCGATTCTAGCCAGGAAGGGGTTATCTCCAGCTGCAGTAGCGGCATGAATGGGCCGACTCCGGCGGCCGGCAATTGTTTCATATTCAATACTATACTCTGTGGACTCCGCTGAGATATTATTGTTACGTAATCTCTTCTGAATTTAAAATAACTCCTTGGAACAAAATTTTGACTCGGAATTTACATACTATATCACACATAAACTTGCTTATATTGTCATTCAAAAAACTGCCTTCACTATGATCATGAAAGTACTTTGAAGAGTTTAATAATGATATTAAAATCAAAGAACCGTAAATATTTTCTTAAAACTAACTAAATAAATCTCATCTATATAATTTACAACAAACAAAAGAGCTCAATCAAATCTACTTGAATGAACAGTTATGACAGAATATTAGTATGAGGGCCACGTTCGGTAGGCTGACCTACATCCGTCAGGTCGTATGCATCTGAGCAAGTAACGATGTGCGCTGAAGCTAATATGAAAACCCGCAGGCCACATCCCAATCACACGATATTGAACAGATAACGCGAATTGTGCATTCTTGTTTAGAAAAGTGAAATATAAACAAGATTCTTTCACAATAAAGAGTTGCCCCAAGTTATACGTCGGACGAGACGTAATCTTGAGGCATGTAAACAGTAATATGTGGCCCGGGCCGCGTTCTCCTTCCTACTCGCCGGCGCCGGGCGAGCTCCCTATACCGGATACCTATGTGGGGAACACTGATTACAAACTTCGAGATTGTGTGTAGAAAACTTAAAAGGACGGACTTTAGACATTATTAAAGTGTATTACGGAACATTTTGCGGCTGAGTATGTTCGTAAAATTCATTTAGGAGTTTGTCCTTATATTAGAGCACCTTTAGCTCTCGTGGAAGCCAAACTTTGATATAATAATTACTTCACCAGTAACTTGCGTGGGCAAATTTTGTCTTTAACAAGTTGTAAGGAACTTTTTCAAATCAAAGTCTCATTTTTTACTACAGTAGCTATAATCCATAATAAAAGTAATCTTTCGTTCTATACGCTTCCTAACTCTAAAAACCTAGGCATTTACTGAACAATATATAGCACACACAAAACAATACATAAATTCAGTGAATAAACGTAGGTACTAGTTCAGCACCGGCGGAGCGTTCTAAATTGTTATTTCTCAGAGAATTTTCAACAAGAGCAGTGGTTGGTTTTGTAATAAACAATCGATCTATGTCAAGTGTCTCGAGCCTATCGAAATAGCAATCAGTTGTCTCGATTTATTTGATATAATCCGATTAAGACTAAACCCTCCAAATGATTGAAAATCGATTTTAACTTATTAAAACGTTACTGCGATACATTGTACAAGTGTGGATTATTTTAACTAAATGTTTTATTATTGTGTTGACATAGACATACGTGGTTATAATATGTTCGTTTATTCTCGCTTCTTCGCTCGAAAAAAATAACTTAATTTTTACTGACGTATGTAGTAGGTACCCTACATTTGTGCAATGTTGAGAGGATTGCCAATATAATATGTGCACGTATCTCATCTCGCCACACAATACAGTCGCTGCCCTAATCTAGAAATCGAAACTTTTCGATACAATTCCCGTGTAAGCGACGCGACTCGATACTCGTAAGACGTGCTGGCGATTCTATACATACAATGACGAAATGGATTTCAATTTATTTTAAAGATTCATAATAAATGTTTCAGATTTCTGAAGAAATTACAGTAACATACGTCTAAAGAATGTATCATTTACAATTATTGGACAGAATATCGAAGGTTAATCAAAAATAATCTCCGTAATTTTGAGTCGTTACAGCTCTAGTCTTGATGGTCTTCTATTCACAGATATTACCTTCTCACCAAACGCACAATATTTTTTTTTGCCTTGGACCTTAACAAAGTTACAGCTTTAACCATAAACAAACGTAAAGCTTAATGCGGCGCAATATTTTAATTACTCGGCGGCGGCCGCTTGCGAGCGACACTTAATTACACACACTGGCCGTATGTGTCATACACTTGTGCAGAAAAATACTGCTACTACTTAGTTTTACAACGTTCTGTTAAACGCCCGGATTTCCGCAGCAATTGTAGCTGTAAAAATAATTTTGCAAGAGGCGTTTTTGTTGCACTTTTCGGGTCATGGAACGCGGAATGTGAAGTGGAAAATACTAACAGACTGATACAATTTACTGCGGCTGCGTACGAAATGTTGCAGATTTTACTATTTTGTTTTATTTTTAAGTAATGTAAGTGTGAGGCGCTTGATAGAATAATGTCTTTAAAATTATAATTGGATTACTTAATAACTCACCCGATGATGCAGGGACATGTTGCTACCATTTTGGAATCTAACGATAGTTTGTAGTGACGCTGGCGTCGACATGCTCTTGGTGATAGAGCCGTTGCCGGAGTCCCGGTCCTGCTGCTCCTTCAGCAGCAGGCCGCGCGCTATCTTCGCGTTGAGGCTCTTGTTAACGTGCTGGTGAGGCAGTAGAGGGGCCTCCATTGTCTTCGTCGTGTACGACGGGGAAGAAGTTTGACTAAACGAGTCTGAAGACACGTTTGAATCCTGTCGGACGCTAATATTTGACCCTGAGCTTGGTGATCGCTTTATTGGCTGGACAGTGTTTTGAGGGGGTAGCGGTGCGGGAGTGAAAGTTGCAGCGTCAGGTATTCTTTGGGGAGCAGGTGCCCTTCTGGCGGACAGTGGCTGGGGATTTCTATTGCAGTCAAGTCGTGGTTGAGGTTGCACGGGGGCAACTGTTCTTCTGTTTCCATTGGGGTCGGTTTGTGGTGGTGCAGGTGTTGTGGTGGGTGGTCTTGGTGGCGTGGGTGGTGGTACACGGCGTGGTGGTTGTGGGGAGGAGCGACGCGGTGGCGCGGGCGGCGGCACTGGTAGGGGCGTGGGCGCTACTGTTGCAGTTGTACGCTGCGGCACGGGCGGCGGCTGTGGCTGGACTGGCTGGATCTGTTGCGGTGGTGGCTGGAGCTGTTCCCGTAAATAGTTATAAATCTGTATGATAAAGTTGGTTACAAACCTTAATAGACCTTATGTTTAGAAGCACTTACCTTCATAATAGGCCGCGGTGGCGCGATTCTAGATGGTGGACAGTATGGCAGTGCGTCAGAGGGGCAGTAGACAAAGCCTGCCGGTCTCTGTGGTTGCGCAGGCGCACACGCTGCGGTGGAGTGTCGCCGCGGAGTGCCCACGCTCGGTCGGAGTAGTTCCAGAAGTTTCTCTCCTGGAGTCGCTGCAAGACTGCCTGCGCGCCCACACCTGGACATAAGATATTGGTATCTTTAATAAGTAGACTAAAATATAAGCAATCTAAGTAAGACCTACATTACGTTTTCATAATTTTTATTCATAATGATTTCCGTATAATATGAATAAGAAAGTGTACTTTAACGAACCGCGTAAAAGTACAGTTATTATATTCCTTTGACTATATTTTAGGAACAATTAATATGGCAGCTTTTGATACAATTTGTAGTCACACAAGAATGCCATTGACAAATGTATCGGTAGGCGCCGCGGACGACTGCAGCCGAGCTGAATAGGAATGACCGTCCAATCGTCACGTCTAACGTTTTACCACTGCGATGAATCTGACAGCTATTGAATCAGCGGAAACTGTTAACGAACATGAAAATGGAGTGTGCTTAGGTATGCAAAAATGTAGTTGATATTCTTTTTATTTCTTCTATGTTCTCAACTTCAATATTTTTCTCAAATACTTTTGTATCACACAAATTTCTCATATGCATAGAACGATAGAACATTTGAACAAATGATTTTAAAATGAATTAAACAGTTAACCGTTTTATTGGAATTTATCAAACCGTTTTATTTTGAAACATTGTGTAAAGAGTTATACAAACACGGAAACGAGCGTATCCTAGCGCGCGTGCCGGTTATTACGCGACCGACATAGCCGACACGAGGGTCCTACCTCGTGTTGTACAGGACGATATTACTGAGAATGTAGTGACCACAACATAACTATGACTAAATCAGAGTTCAAGATAAAACTTTAAATGTTATTTCTTCGGTGTGATGGGTAGGTATTGTTATTCACTTCTCAATTCTTTTAAACTATGAAGAAGTCGTATACTGAACTTACAGTGACTTGTTTGTTAAACTTAAACGATATTATGACCCGAAATATCTAAATTAACTTAACAATATCTCTAAAATTCACTAATACCTAATCTATCACTATCTACACTGAGTAATGGGCATTCACACTAACTCAAATTCTACACTGATCAACATCATAATTAATACAGTAACACAATCTTCTCAGCCATTCATCAACATCATACACATCAACTACGAACCGTACACGCAGGTAGACAGGAACAGTAGTCCCATGCTTGTGACGTCACCCGGTGATCACGGTTCCGGGTAATGAATGGATTGCAAGCCTCGCCGGACATGTTTGTCAAGCACAGAACGCGTTAATGAACATGCCTCACTATGTCCCCGTCTGGACTCAATGCGACCTGAATAGGGGACACTGGCCAGTATCTATGTAAGTACATACAACATAGGTACGTGATTCATGACCATTATTTTTTAATTGTTTATTGTTAAAATTATCTTTTTGTAATAAGTTAAGCGGTGACCGAACCGACCATCATTTGTTAATAATGTTAATAAGTATTTGACACTATTATTTCGGATAGGAATCTGTCTAGTTAAACAAGGCTTCAGTTTACGTAATAACCTTAAATAATAACGATTTAAGTAAAATATTTGCTATGAAATGGTTTTCAGACATTAAAACTTAACACTGTAGCGAGCAAAATCATTAATTGGTTTAATGTAGAGGCACTCAGGTGGCGCCCTCTTACCTGCAGACTTTGCGTCTTAAACTTAATGATGAACCTCTTACTTTCTAGTCTAATGGGCTTGTCTATTTCATGTCATGAAGTAGCTCTTATACTGGAGCTATTGTAGGTACTCACTTGAACTATTAAATTATTTCATACTCATTTTGAAAATACTGAGCATTGTCTATAAAACATAATTTATCGCAAATTAACACAACTAATTCCCCTCAAAAGTAGGTCAATATAATGGTCATGTCGTACCTATTGCGTCAAACTCCTGTTTCTATGCCATAACAAAGAATTTCTAATCGAAAAAGCAATCTGCAATCGTACCTAGCACTCGCCTTTATAGCTATTGGACAACAAAGTCAGTTGACCAATACATGGCCGGTACAAACAAAATCACTTCACCGGTATCCACATTACGGAGGTCATTAACTTAATAGTTTGTAAAGTTTAATGACCTAAATGCCTAGCTACAGACATACAAACAATACCACACTGAACGTTTGTTTACACCTTCACAAAAACTATATGGAAACCCATGAAAAGTACAGAACGTTCTGGTCTATCCATTAGGCGGACAAATGAAGCGGGTAATGGAGGAGCTGATTACATGGACGTAATGAATCGAATGCTTTGATTCCACACTCACCGGTCCGCGGCGACTGGCGAACCAATTTTTCTTTAATTAATCTGACATTCCACAAAACCGTTTATTTTTTGCCTGTGGGTATTTATTCTAACTCCACTCTCAGACTATAAAAACTTTTTTACACTGTTAGGGGGTAGAAGATATTTTAGATCGGTATAATACGCGGCTCAAGTCCTGTCCTTTTTGCTCGAGGTTCATCGGACCGCCAATAGTTTTGTTATTTTTTAATTAGTCAATTTAGATTAATAGTTTTTTATTCATCTTATTGGTCCTGATTTTGTTTATAAAGACTGTGGTCATTGTAATTTTCTTTTTATAAAGTAACTTGGGATTTAGTTTGTATAATCAGAAGTGGGTGTCGGAGAATCGCGGCGTTTGGATTTTCATCCAACCATCAAGGTACATACATAGATGTAAATGGTTATCGCTGCGGCATCGCGTGTCTTCTACACGAGCTCTAAAGGTTTTATAAAAAAATCTGTTCACAGACACCTCTCTCTCATGGTCAACTCGGTATCAAAGTAGGTAACACAGTAGTGTCGTAACAGAAAGGTGGGTGTTACCACCTACATTTAGAGCACCTTTGTGGCAGAAATACAATACCTAATTGATTGTATCTTCAATTTAAAAACATAAACAAGAAAATCAAACAAATACTTTAACAATTAATTTAGTACATGTTTAGCAGTTAGACAAGTTATACTGTAGTGTTCTAACATCAAGCATTATTCTTCAGCAATTACGAATTGTACTAGAGAACTAAGTTTCAGTAAAACACTTCAAGTGGAATAAGAAAATTAAACTTGCGTGTACTGCGAGATGGAGAGAAGGAGTGAAGCGAGAGAAAGGAGGGAAGGGGGACAAATTTAAACGTCTCGCAAATTGGTGTGATTAATTGTGCTCCGGCGAAACATGTTGCGGCCGACATGTCGGCCATGTCGCGAATATCTGATGATAATTGTAAGGAATTCCGATCGAAATCCATTTGTTTTATTGCTTCTGCGGTGTTTCAGTGGTTCGCAGAACGATGTCCGATTTTTGGAAATACATCAAATTACTCGTCACTCGTTATTTATTGCACGACCACATTAGATTGCACATCCGAAGCTACTTTTATTATTTTGTAAATCATTGATAGGGCACTTGCTGCTCGGTCTCACAATAACTGAATAACTGTGTATATCGTATTGCAATGTCTCATCCATATTAAAGTAACGTCCGACTGTATGTCACTAACACACTCGAGCCGCTGAATGGTCTTCGATTCCTCTATATATAGATTATGTTTGACATATCACTAGAAAGGTTTGTTTGAAGAATTCCTCTTTTCCACTTCAAAGTATGTGAGGGATCGATTTATAAATAAGTACAGAATAGTGAGCTGCCTATTCAACGCGTAAACAATGGTAACACGGATTCCCAAAAAGAGAAATATGTATGAAATCGTAGTGGGGTTTCGTGTCGTTTAAATAAAGTTTATTTTAGAGTCAAAATCAGTAGTCGTTGGTAACACGCCGCTTATGTAAATTTAATATCAACAAATATTGTTGTAAATGACTTGGAGCTGTTCCAACTGCTTGCCCGCTAATGGAATGAGCACGGAGCCCGGGCCGCACATATACTTGGAATATTTTTGAGGGCTACCACCGGAAAATTTACGTGTTATAACTGAATTTTCTAGTTTTATTTTTACTTTTTTTTACTTTTGTATTAGTTATAACAACGATAGGGATGATGGCAATAATTATACCTACTATCACATACTGTCTCAATAATAAAGACGATACGATATTTGAAATGAATTAAATCCTTAATATTGTCAATCTGTGAGGAACAATCTTGTGGCTAGAGACAGTCATGCGAATCAACCGCTCTCCTAAGTTTAGGTCCTGCTTACCGAGGTGCGTCTATTTATACTATTACATGTGATTTATCTTAATATTGCGTTACTTCCACAAGTTTACGCACCGGTTTTTACGCGGACGTCTGCTTTTGCAAAAAAGTAAAAGCCAGTTAAAATGCGAAGTGAACAGCAGTATCCTCTAATTTTTTTATTACGTAACTACGATTTAATTCCTCTAAAGCGGGTGCCATTTGTTCAGCAGTGAACGTATTTCGGCGAAAGATTAAGATTCAGTACCGACCTCAAGTTAAGAAAAAATAACAATATAAAACAAAACATCACTCAGTGGGTCTGCAAAAAATTGAGTCCTTAGACAATCGATTACTCTTCAGACATATCCCTCATTCCTATCCTGATTGTCCTAAACCCTTAGGAACGCAGCAATACTCGTGTACGTCCCTTGGTTGATTGATGAGAGGGTCCTAGGTACTCGCCAGCCAATATCTCGGTACAGAGTACTGCGACGTGACTAAATGAGACAAATTTGTCACACAAAAGCGACAAAGGGCCTGTGATTAATTGCTGTTTAGAGGTTATGTTAGAATTGTTTATACCTGCACGGAATTTCACTCGGTTACGGTACTATATGTAAACTGGCTACATGTTTCCTTGACAAAGATTTTATTTTCGGTATGAAAAAGATTTTTAGTGATTTATGAATAACGCGGTATCATTGAGTATGTTTCATGATAATTATTTGAGAAATTAAAGCCCAATCTTAAAAAGAACTAACGAACTTACAAAATTAAACCAAAAATGTGAACCAAATAGGTAGAACTACTCGGACAATACAATGGATAGAAACAACTCACATATTGTAGCAAGTAACTTTCAAAGTGAACTAACCAAACTCTGACCTCCGCGACCTCTGCTTTCAATTAAACCGCTATCGTTAATTTCATCAGCCTCCTCCTATAGAACCTCCTCCTATCATCCATTACATCTATGGATTTACCTATCAGCTTTCAATTTAAAGTTTCCAAACAGATCGAGATCAAGTTTGTTATCAATCTTCGAATTCGGAAAATTTGTTTGGAAAAACCTTCTTTGAGTTTTCCCCGAAATGATTGTGAGTGAACCTGATTTTTTTCATTTCCTTTTGATACGAAGTTGATTTTCCTTATAATTATATTTACTCACGAGTCGTCCTTAATCTAGGTACTGATTTAACTTTGAAGAAAGTAATTAAGTCATGAAGTAGAAAAAATTCTAACTAAAAATATGATATTTCAAGATTGATGAAAACATTTCAATAGATTGTCAGTCAATTAGAAAGATTTCTATCATACCTCATTTCATTGAAGGAGAACTATCTTATAAGTTGTGGTACACACAACTTTACGTGCTTCTCTCAGAACTGCAGTCAGTGAGCGATGAATGTGTGTCAAACTTTAATGTTGAAACCTAATGAGCTTTCCCCACTTAGTATAGTTGAGAACTGGAGCCATTAAATGTTCTATTATGACTATTAACATCTCATTTTGAAACCGCATTTTGTTCTTTAATATCAAAGTTGATATGAAACAGTATTTGACTGTCGTAGCGCGTAGCCGTTATAGTCACTACGATTACTACGTCGTAGTAACATCAATATTCTTTATCAGCTGCGTGCTTTCATGATGTGTTTTGATTGTGATGGCGTGTAAGCAAAGTAACAAAGTCAATAAAAAGCAAGTTATTATGTGTTATTAACTGTCCGGCGGCCAACATCTGTCCTTCTATCGTAATATCTGTTACCAGGTAGGACAGATTATACCCTAATATCCTGCCTTTTGTATTAAATCAGTTTTTACTCGACGTCTATTGATATAATGTCCTAGGGCGGCTTCTCGCTTTGTGTTCCAAATGGCTTACAAACTTAGTGATAAACGTCAAATCTGTTTTATACAAAAGGGAGGATGGAGACAGTATTCTGTTCTAGGATTTCATATTGTGGTAATTTTACAAGGTACTTGGGTTAAATAGGCTGCGTTAAGATACTCGCGCGTAGTAATTTGGGAGTTCTTATAGCTTAATATTCTCGTCATGCCGTTAAATCGCTAAAATAACATGTGCTTATATTTATGTACGGCATCTAAATATCTTGGAGGTGGAGAATTGTGCAAAAAGTAGCTGTTTACGTATCATCAGCGAACGTAAACAAACTCGTTAGATTAGGGTCGACGCGCATTAAACTCGCGGCTTTTCACTCGCAGATCGTCAGTTGTTGATAAATCGCTAAAAGTATTATGTTTTGTTTACTTTTAATCATCAATGGGATGAATGCAGGCTTTTATTCGGAAACACAATATTTGTTTCGTTTTGTAGTTCTGTGTTTTTTTTTTCGATGTTTTAAAGATATGTTAAGATTAGATTATAATGTTAAGATATCTAATGTTTATAAATCTGGAAACATTTTTGAAACGGTGCGATGGTTGTTTTATTTCTATGAATTGATTGTACCTAAATGTAACTAAATCAGATTGAAATATTTAAACTTTCAATGGAGCACCTACTATATATATATTTGCTGCTTGAATAGACATCTGTTTTCAAAAAGACCTCTCCATGATTTGAAACAAACTTTTACATCATACAACCCAGTTACTCGCAGATAATATTTGTTTACTTGAACAACAGATAATTCCCAGCGCTGATTTTATCAGTGCAGTGGTTCAATAAGACAATCGTCACCAAGTGAAGCGTAATGAGAGCCTGAAGCCGACAGCCTGTGTAGTCAGGCTCGCTGCAAACTTGGCACAGACTTGCTATATTAGTTTGCACGGCAAACGATGATGCAACCAGTTTAAATCGACTTAGTACTTCGCAGACAGTTATATGAGATTGTCGGGTGTCCTATTTGCTCATTGTATACATTATAAGAGTTTAAAAGAGGCCAAATAAAGTTTTATTCATATTTTTATAAACTGCACATGGTTCGTGTTTTTGTTATTAAATGAATAATGTAGTCCTTAATAAAAGTTAAAAGAAAATGTAAAATATTAATCTGAAACAATATTTGTAAAAATGAATAATTAATTCGAACAACACCAATAAAACCTCAAGTTGCGAACAAATCCGTTTAATTAAAACACAAGACTAAAGTTTTCGCAATAAGAGCGTCCCGCGGTGAGTCGCTCGGCTTGCGAACGGCCCGTGAGTTACAAAGTAAACTCCGCGAGATCGCTAACTAGATTATTGTGGAGTTACAGTCGTTTGTTGAAGTTATACCGATGACCCGCCATGACAGAACAATTATAGGTAAGAGAGCCTGTACCTTCTATTCGAAAGTAGTGAAAAGATGGCGCGAAATCTACATAAATGATGTGTAGGTACTGCTTACAAATGAATTCTTAATTTGATATTTAAAGAAAGGAATACAAATTAAAACTCAGGCTTTTGAAAATCGGTTTAAATAATTTCATTTTGTTGTTTCAGAGTAAAATTTATTTCCTTGTGGTACTTACCGTCCCTTGACAGAATCGTCATCGTCTGCGGAGCCGTCTCCTTGCAGCTGCATGCCGCCCTGCGCCCACGTCACTGTCAGCCAATCTAAAGACAAATAAAAGTATGCTCTTAGATATTACAAAGAAATAAACGTAACAACACGGCTTAGGCAGAGGTGCACATTATGCCACTGTACAATGTAACACCTACTTTTCACTATTCATGTTATGAGTCCCATGTAATTATTACCATATACCGGGTACAATTCCAGACTCCGTGCTTCTATTGAGATTTTTTTTTAAAACACAGTAGTACCTTGCCCGACCCGGGAATCGAACCAGGACCCCTTGCCCGGCAGTCGCACTTGCGACCACTCGGCCAACGAGGCAGTTAAAGTCAAAGTACATAGAAATGAGTCTACCTATAATTGGTTACTCAGAAAATAGTACAGAGCTAAATCTAGGTAAACTATTTATATCCAGTCTGAAAGTTAGTGACGTATCGAGCACGCAAGTTGTACACTAACTAGATTAACGCCCGAATACATACTGAAAGGCTTCTTTCTTTTTTTAAGTTGTAGGTACTTAAATACCATGGCATCTCTGTCATTTTGCAAACAAATTTTGTGACAGAACTATAGGTACTTAAGCGCAACTTAAAATTGAGTCTTTATCATCTACAGCCTGTAAGTGGCCACGGCTGACCAAAAGCGTCTTCTCACCCAGAGAAGGTTTGAGCATTGGTCGCCACGCTTGCTCAATGCGGGTTGGCAAAATTGAGTGGCGTTTGAGTATTTCGGCATAAGCCGATCAATATCTTATATATAGAAGAACTTTTCCGATAATCTTTATTAATGCCAAGATTACTAAATATAACTAGAGTACATCCTTACAAGAAATACACAATCGTCTAGAGATAATATAATTTGAAAGTTCATTTTATATCCCCGTATTTCGAATTATAACTCCGTCTTCAAATAAAAACTTGAGTTGGAAGTTGTAAAAACTGTCGGTAAAGAAAGTTTATACCGGAATATAAATCATTGAGTCACACGTAGGTTTCAATAGGCAGGAATAACGAACTGCTTCTGACGGTCCCTTGTTAAGGACGGCACGAGAGAACGTGGTTCGCTCTCAATATAAACGTATACATGGCGTGTTTTATATTCCCGTCGTAACATCTCGTTTGTTAAGCATCGAATATGTGATTATTAAAAAACGAAATGTTTTAGCAAAAACAAGTCATCATTTATGTCGCGGAGAACCTAACGGGTTACCAGGGCTCGAAAGCTCGAGTTCGAGCTCGAGCTTGAAAGGTAGGAGAAGGAACGGGGTGGTTTTTAGTCAGTAAGAGTCTGACACTCCCTCCCGCCTCACCCAGGCGGGAGCAGTCATTCGATGATTTTCCCCCCTTATAAAAAACAAGTCATCGATTATGATATATACTACTTACATATTGACCAGAAAACTCATAGAGAGACGTGTTCTTATTTTTTTTATTAATTGATTTTTAACAGTAGTTTTGGCCACGTTATCGGAGAGATAGATAAATCACACCTACAATTTGACAGCAGAATTACAAAATCACGCACATTCGAAAGATTTCAATGACATATATAACATCCTGGTTCACAACATAATACAAATACACATAAAAAAGTGAGTACACACAAAGTCTTTTTGGCAAAGTTGTGAATAAGTCCGCACGGATTGCGAAGCCACGCTTCGAAAATCAAATAGAAAAGTACTGGGACACTTTGTACTCAGATCTGGGACTGTCCCTTCCCAGATAACTTCCCGATCGGTAATTGAATTAAACACGGCTAATGGGATGAAGGTTCTTGATCTGCACAAAGGGCTTCCTTTAAATTATCTGCAAGGATATATCGGATCATTTAGGGAATTTTAATAAAACGAGTTTTCTAGCTTGAAAGGGACAGTTGTATGTCCAGTTTTAGGGGTTACGTAGGAATAGGAATTCAAATGTGTTAGATTAGAATACTTTAAGTAGTGTTATTGTAATTTAGTGACTAAATCTTATTAGTATTTTGTCTGCTAAAATTAATTAAATGTCCATAAACTACGTATTATTGACATTATTAACATAGACCTGCAGTAATTTTAAAATTAAAAATGGTTTACGAAAGCATGTCTGGTATCCACAATGAATATTACATTTACAGCAGACACCCCTTCCTGGAACACTTGGTAAAATTTTAATAAGGTTCGTAATAATATTAGCGTTCTTTATTACGGAGACATTTCCTCGGCTCGTTCTCGGAAAATTATCTGAAGGAAGAAAACTTAAATAATTTAGGAATCTTTATTATGAAAATTACTTTGAATATTAAGTTTACCTTTGTCGTGCCACCGCAGCGGCGGGAGGTACTCCTACTTACTACATTGTGCCTTTCTCCTTTATTTACCGCAATTATTTCTAATTCTGTTGGTGACTCTAAAAGGTGGATATGTTATGCCACTGTACACTAGTGTGGAGATAAATTATAATAAGTATCTATTCAGCATTGTTGTAAAATGTATACTTTCTGTTTGAAAGTTGTTATTTTTTTAAATATAAAATCATAATAATTGGAAAACGAAATCCTTGATGGCTTACCAAAGATTCTGTTTTCAACACACAAAAGTAAATTGAGAAAAAGTAAAATACTCTTTATGATTCCACGTGGATTACCAGAGACGTTGACTACAAGTAAAAATATTTCCTCAACAAAATATTTGTTTCTTTTTTGCTTACAAAACAAAAAATGTATTTACCTACTTCTAAATGAAACAAATTGTTTTGCTGGGAAATTCATTATTTACGTAAAAGTGGTTGTCATGGCAACGCTCCCACAATCCCTTAAACTTGGCTACTGCCTCGCGAAACCGTTACAAAAGGACTCAGTACAATACATTGTTATTCTTTGCTTTGTTTAACAATTCCACTGGTTTTTTGTTTGTAATTAATAAAACAAACGGAATTGATTCCTTTTGATAATTTTGTGATTTTATTGGCGACACAATACACGGTGACAATAAGCTAAAGCTAAGAGATTTCTCGAAATTTTCTGGGCTTTTGTTGATATATTCCGTAACTACAAAAGCTGGCATTGATCTTAAAATTGGTTTTATTCGTCAAAAACAACATTAACGAAAAACAAAACACACGCAACATAAGATAAACAATAACAGCACTGAATAGATAATGACAACACAATATGATCACAAAGCATTCCCTGGATAGTCGCAATGTTCGCGCGAACGTATCTCGCGTCACTCCGCATAACTCGGCTGCTATGAAAAGGGTTGAGACGGCATTATACCTGGTAGGATTTATACTCGTAAATACGCTGTCATATAGGGGCTAGCACACACGTGCAACTTTTTCAACATTCATTGACTAAACTGTTTAGTCACTTCACAACAGTTCACAACACAACAGTCACACACAGTAAAGTGTCTTAGCACTATGCATCATTGACATCGATGGTTTGAGTCAATTTATCTTCTAAACAAATCCAATAAATAATTTTACTGTAGAAAACGGTTGTGTCAAACTTCTTCTGATGCGAGACTGAATAGTCGCGGGTCGACTATTTAGTCGATGTTATACGCACTACAATACATTTTAATACGTACAAATGAGCTGTAATCGATAATTATACAACTTTGTAATCAAAAGCAGATCGTTATGGCATTTTGAATTTTTTATCCATTAACTTTCGAATTGACAGTATGCAAACGTACACTCATACAGGCTTATGAAACATAGCAAAATAATTATTCGAGTAAAAGTTATGTATGCGCTAGTCCTTACTCCATGTATGGGGGATTGCAATAATGTTTGACTATTAATACGTCGCGTGGCGTCGCGTCGAGTCGCAGGGAGCAATGATAAGCACTCGAATTTATAAATACCTGATATTTCCCCGACATATTGAGTCGGTTATTTATTTGCCGACGTCATGTCTATTGGTGTTTGATTTGTGTTGTGTTGCTTTTTATTTGATGTGGTGGTTTATTATATCGTTTTTAAGATTTGTACGTTTTAAGTAAGTACCTATGTTTTCTATACATTTTTGTTATTCAATCAAAACATATAATTCTTCTTCGCAGAAGTATGTAAAGACTTTATGTATTTTAATTACTAGGTATAATAAGCACCATGTAATTATTTCATTAGTAAAAACTATCCGCATAAACTGTACATTTAGTTACAACAATATGACCAATGAATAACTTACTTAACACCTAATAAAGACAAACAACCTAACAAGAACTAAAATAAAAAGTAGTTGCAGTTGAAAGATGGCGGCACTAGTAGAACTAGTAGACAAAATGCGAGGTGTTGGCCGGCCGCCAACAAACATAATAACTGCTCTCTTTGACCTGTGAGCACCATTCATACTCCATGCTACACACTTTTTGCACTATAAGGACGGCAAAACAAGATCCTTTGGTAATACTTCACATATGCAGCTTTGCTTTAAAAATATCATGAAATAAAGGGTGTTAAAATACACTTATTATATGATAAAGAGATAAAGAAGTTACGAATCTTATGTTCAAATACTCAAACGCCAATCAATTTTATAGTTAAGTCTCCACAAATTCTCTGTAAAATGACAAAGATGGCACGATACTTAAGTACAACTTCAAATTGAGTAGCCTTTCAGTATTCGGGCTTTAAATGAAAGCTAAAGCGTTGTTTTGATTTATTTAATTATGCTTAATTTTCTCCAAAGTGTTAACACAAAAGGTACCAATCTAATCGCAGTCCGTAACCAAGAAGTCATACTTTGTTTTTATAATAACTATCATGAGGCATACTAAATGAACTAAAATCGCACTCACGTGAATATACTGAGAAAAGCTCTACTAGTTTCGAACCACAGAGGGGTTTGAACCACACATAATCATCATGAGCAGCGTGCGCGGTTACTGCGACGTCGCGCAGCTCACCGAGTGAGCTGCCTAACAGTATATTCACGTGAGTAATCCGCAATTTTAGTTAGTCATACTTTGTAGTCAGTCAATCAATTTATTATCAAGATCATGAAATATTCACCTTCACAAAACGCTTTCTTTTTCTTTACTAAATATTCA